TCATGAGATGTGTCACATTCATTTCTGCTGTGTTTCTGAATCACGTGGGAAAAAAATGTTTTCCATTTGACCCTTCAGGCCAACCACAGCAGTGACCTACATATTATGGTGAAAAACTGTAATTCAACTATTCAACCACCAGATGTCACTACTGGTCCAAACTGTACACCATGCATTATTCTTCACAGCTGGGGAACGCCACTGATTTTTCAAAATGTCTGCGTATGGATGTAAACAGAGTCGTTCAGAGTGGTTTGGTGTGAAAGGCTGTGTTCTAGAGAAACTTAACCAGTCACAATTGTTCACAGTGGTGGTGATAGGAACCAGGTGTCTGAAGAGTTTAATATACACTCACAGAGCACTTCATAAGTCCACCTTCTTATATTTACACTCATTGTCCATTTTATTAGCTCCACTGACCATATTGAAGCACTTCGTAGTTCTACATTTACAGACTGATGCTGGGGATTTTAAACACTGTGTCCACTGACTGTCCACTCTATTAGACACTCGTTCCTTGTTGGTCCACCTTATAGAAGTAAAGTCAGAGACGATAGCTCATCTGCTGCTACGCCGACTGTGTTGGTCATCCTCTAAGTCCTTCTTCAGTGGTGACAGGACGCTGCCCACAGGACGCTGTTGGCTGGATGTTTTTGGTTTTCAGTCCAGCAGCGACACAGAGGTGTTAAAAAACTCCAGCAGCACTGCTGTGTCTGATCCACTCGCACCAGCGCAACACACACTAACACGCCACCACCACGTCAGAGTCACTGCAGGGCTGAGAATGATCCACCACCCAAATAATACGTGCTCTGTGGGGGTCCTGACCATTGAAGAACAGGGTAACAAAGTATGCAGAGAAACAGATGGACTACAGTCTGTAACTGTAGAACTACAAAGTGCTCCTTTATGGTCAGGGGAACTGATAAAATGGACAAAGAAACAAGGAGGTTAACGAAGTGCTTAGTGAGTCTATATTAAACTTCTTAAACTCTTCATTAAACTCATTATGACTTCAGTGTGAGTGGGCAGGGCAAAACTGCTATAGACCTAGCAGGCAAATATATGTAAATGAGTTGTTTTTTGTGACATCACAAAAAAAGCAAGTTTAAAAGGACTCTACAGAAAATTTGAAACTTCAAAACCATATTAAACACATTATTTGTTTGTTTGTCAGGTACATGGGCCCTTTAAAGTTCCTCCAAATAGCACACTTTCTCTACTGGAGCTAATCCAGTGCTCTCAGCAGGGAGTGAAGCTCCTGCAGAATGCAGTCTAAGTACAGACACACTGTTCAGGCTCTTCTGCACTTTCTGTACTGCAAATCAGCAAAAGTACAGACAAAAATCTTCAAGATTAGCTTTGTATGTCCATGTTTATAGTTAACAGTGTCAGAAACCACATAATCAAGATAATGAGAGATTACTTAAAGGGCCCATATCATGGAAAACTGAATATTCCTCTCTCTTGAAGTAATAATGTGGTGTATAAAAAGTTAAAGTTTCAACATATCAACAACTGAGAGAGAAAAAATAATGACTAGGCCTGATATAAAATGATTTTATGGAAAACGTTGTTGCTGACACTTAGATTAAAATTACTTACTAAACTACTAATACACAAAGTATAACTAAAGAAAAGAAGGAAGGAAAAAAAGTAAATTGGACTGTGAGTGGAAAATGAGTGATGATCAGTGGAATTTTGTCTATTACTCTGCTTAACCACTGGTGGACCGCCCAGAAAATGCTGAGCAAAACGCTATTGGACCACCAGCTTTGCCATCAGTGGGCCGATATTGTTCCACTATCCTCTTGCTATCAGGGTATTACACAGTCCATATGTGGAAACTAAACTGCAAAATCAGCCCATTGTGAATTCACTGTTTCTGTGATGTCACAAAAACACACATTCACATGCACTCACCTATTCGGCCTACAGCTGTTTAGCCCCACCCACTCACTTAACTTAAGTTATAAAGAGTGTTTCAGCCTGGACTGCTTTTTGAATCACAGCCAAATTGTAATTGTTTCTCAAATCAGATCTTTTGAGCTTCCGCTCTGTTAGGCTACGTTCACATTACCAGGTCGAAGTGGCACAAATCCAATTTTTTGCCCTAATATGATTCAGATCTGATGTTTTCAGGGCTATGTGGACACACAAATCTGATCTTTTCAAATCTGACCTGAGCCACTTTCATATTTGGTCCTAGCTCAGATACGTATCCATGTGACCTTAATGTGAACACTCAGATGGGAATTCGTGTGGGGTTTTTTTCCACTGTGCGTGCGCCATCATTGAGCGTTACTATGGCAGCAGAACACAAGTTAAAGCCTGTAAAAGCAACATATCTGACCTTTTTCACCTTTGTCTCGCTCTAATAATGCAGCTGAGAGCTGGTCAGAGTTAATTATCTTCGCAGTGAGGGCTCATTCTGCTCGTTAGTTTGTTTGCTGATGATGAACGTGACACACGAGATTCATTCACGTGACGTTATTGACTAGGATGTGAGCATGCGGGTCATTTGAGGATGCCAATTCGTTCACATTAATTATTATTCACATTAATTAACGATCATGGATTTCGGCAAAAAAGGATTTGAGCAATGAGGCTTGTAATGTAAACGTAGTTTTATTTTTGCGAGTGATCAGATCGGATTTGCGTGTTCAGACATCACCAGTCTAGCTACATGGGTTGCCATGGTAACGACGTAGGCGTCAGTAACTATGTAGCTACGCTAGTGACTCCGATCTCAAACGCAGATACAGGAGAGATGAAGGTGCATCATCTCGCACTTCAAACTCTTCATAATCATGAATCTTTGGAGCTCTTCTTGAATCCCAGCACTTCATCACACTGGATTTGACATCGTCGTTGTTTGTCATGTTGAGTGTGACGCAAAAGACACTTTGAAATCTGATTTAAGCGCCCAGACTGAGACAGATCTGTAAAAATCTGATTTAAGTCACATTTCAAAAACCACCTCCAAATGTGGTTTGGATCTGATTTGCAAAATGTGTTTTTTTGCTCTCCAGACTATTAAAAAATCAGTCTGGATACAACCTAGATAGGACAAAATACAGATTTGGGCTGGCAGTCTTTACATAGCCTCAGAACAGAGCTCACTTACATATATCAGTCTTAAAAGGGTGGTAAGAAAAACAGCCAGTTTAATGCTAAGGCTGGAAAATGGTCATGTAAAAAATTAACTATGACTGTTTTTTGATATAAAACCACACTAAAGTTATAAGTGGACCTCAGAGGAAAGAGTAAGAAACTGAGACAGGCAGTTAGCACTATGCTAAACTGTGGGCTATAAGCTTTCATTACTTGTTAGCTACATTAGCCTTGTAGCTCCAGTGCTAAAAGTAAAGAGGCAAACTTCAGACACCAAATATGTCTCAGCTGATCGACTATATTTTGAGTAAAACAGGGAAAACTGGGTAAAAAATGAACTATTCTAATAGTTCTAATATAACTAACGAAATAATTCACTTTTTAAACTGCACTCTCATTAAATGACTTTCTAAACATCTGTTCTGCTTGAGAATGCTGCCCTCAGGAGCAGACCTGCTGCTCACGGAGAACTTCCTGTACTGAATTTGGTGTTATCTAACACAGCGTGTGAGCAAAACTCCAAACAAAGGTAAGATGCAGCAGTGTGACCTTTGACCTTCTGGCCTGCAGTCATTTTCAGCTTATGGTGAACAAAAACAACAGGCCAGCTTCAACTGTGTCTGAAAAACTGTCCTTACACCATCAGAGGCTTCAGGAGAACCAGAGAGAAGTGCATAAACATGCTTCTCCAATTACCATAGCAACATCACCTGTTAAAGGGGAATTTCACCAATTTTTTATAATTTTTGCATAATTGAGTGTGTGAGATGTAAACAGAGTGATTCAGACTGGTTTGGTGTGAAATGGTTCAGATCTCTTCACAGTGGTGGTGATAGGAACCAGGGGTCGCCATGACTACAACACAAATATAGACATTTTACTTACTATCCAAAACCACCAGTGAACCTAAACATGTCTTTTGAGTTTTATATAGAACGTTGATGGTGGGAAAATAGTGGAAAATCTGAAATAAGTTTTATTTGGGGACTATTTTGTCTCTGCATGTGTCCCTCCACCATTAATGGATTTTAAGATCTTAAAACTACCATAAAACAATGTCTCAGACATCAGGCAGTGAATTCATAACCATTTCATGTAATAACCTTCTGTGAGGGAGCTTTTAGAGGTGGATGTCTGGTTCCTATCACCACCACTGTGAACAATTCTGACTGTGCAAGTTTCTCTAAAACGCTGAACCACTCTAAATGACTCTGTTTACATCTTAACCATTTACATAAAAGTAACTTTTTCATCATGAGTGTTTGTGATGAGTGAGCTGTACAGAATTCACTCCTATATTTTTTTTATCTCCTCTTGGTGTGCGTAATATAGCAGCATTTAGAAGCAGACAAACAGCTCACAGTGAGAGCTAGCCAGGCTAAAGTACAGCCTCCACACGGGGGGGTTAGTTTACATACTGTTACAGCTAAGACCCCCAAAGTAAACATAACATCTCATAATATCCCCCATATACAATTAGAACAGGACATTCTTTATGGATGTTTTGTAGAAAAACATACTATGGATAACAGGTGAATAAAGCATTTTTGAAACTTTACAATTATATTTATAAAATAAATGTCAGTTTTTGACTAAACATATTTAACATATCACATTTGCATCAACTTACAAGACTTTAGCATCTGTTACGACTCAGTCTGTTCCAGTTAACGTCACATTTACACTCACTTTGCTTTCAGCTGAATTGTTCTTAAACTGCAGGAGCTGGAAACAATGTTTACGTTTTCGTATGTAGAAGAGCTGTGGTCACTTGTATAAATAAATTATTCATCTTGCTCAGATATGCAAGTTATTTAGAAAACAGAAATATTATAACACTTATGCTACTACAGAAATGGTAAAACATGCACAAACACACAAAGTGATTCCACTGTTAAATGCCATTAATTTATTTCCACAGATATTTCTGTGTTGTGTGCGCTCAGAACAAAAAAATCATAATAAAATATACAGATTTGGAAGCTACACACACAACTAGAACATGGTGTTCTAGCTTTAAAAAAAAAAGAAAAAAATCCTTGAGTTTGTTAATATTCAATCCAATCCAATTAAATCCTAAATACTTCTTCCATGAAGAGGAGTTTTTGTTTTAAATGGACGACTGCATGAAAACAGGGGGAAGCACTGTTCTTATTGCATTACTCGCCAATCATCAATAATATGGCTTTAATTACAGTTTTAGACATAACAGTGTTTTCTTTTCTTTTACATTATTGTCAAAATATAACACTTTTCGTTCTCACAGAGGTACGAGTAGAGCAGGTCAAAAGCACCTAGTGTTTCCGACTGTACAGCCGCCTGGAGCGTTTCGCTGGAGACGCATGTCATTCGTATCAATTTTCAAAAAAGTGCACCAAAGGAAAAGGCAGAGAGTGACTGTCTGACTGTGAGAAGTGCCTTCAGATGGTAAAAGCTCACCATCTCCTTCTCTAAGCTCCACCCACAAACGTGTTCTTTCATAGCGACTGTTGAACAAGCTTTACAGAATGCTGGTAAAAATTCCATTAAACCTAAAGAGAAGCACATTTGAAGTCAGAGCATGAACAATACAATTCAACCCTCTACAGTCAGAAACAGTCAAAACAGGTGAATATGACACACAGGAAATATGAGGGTTCTTACTACGCTTTGGAAAAATGAGTTTCATCCTGTTCCTCTCAACTTCTCAGCGGTTTTCAAAAGAAAATCCAGTTCATATTCGGGCCAGATCCTAAAGCTAACAGACAAAACCCAACAGTGTCCATAAACCACAGTGATGTACCGCGTTTTTCAGTAACAGAGACGGAGAGAAGTTCTTTTTTAAAGTGCCAGTGAGGATCAAAGATCATCAAAGCACATAATATGGAAAATCGCCTGTTAGCATTTCCACAGCTAGCTCTGAACCCAGCGTGTCCACAGCTACACAGATAGCTATGGGCCTAGCATCTACAGATCTAATTCTGGACCTAGCATTTCCACAGCTAGCTGTGGACCTAGCATTTATGGAACACTTCCACAGGTAGTTCTGGGTTTACAATGTCAAAGGCTATTTTTGGACATAATCCCAGAGCCATCTAGGAACCTAGCATTTCCACAACTAATTCTGGACCTAGCATTTCCAGATCTAGCTCTGGACCTAGCATTTCCACAGCTAGCTACAGGCCTAGCATTCATGGACCTAGCATTTCCACAGCTAGTTCTACACTTTACACCCCAAAGCTATCTAGGAACCTAACATTTTCGCAGCTAATTTTGGACCTAATATTTCTGGATCTAGTTCTGGATCTTGCATTTCCATAGCTAGCTGTTTACCTAGCGTTTCCACAGCTAGTTCTGAGACTTTCTTACCAAGGCTGTGGGAGTAAGCCAGTTTTAATGGAAAGCTAAAACCAGTTGTTTTTCCCCCTATAAAACTGGCACAAAACACAGACCTGAAAATTCATCTTAGTCTAAAGTGATATTCACTTTGCGTCAAACATATCTAAACATAGGCATTTTCAAACTCCAAGAAGGTTGATGCTCCCACAGCTAGTTTTGCATTGGCACACTCTTACTCTGCATCCTTTCGTCAGATACTGAAGCTGTTGGTAGCTGGGCAAGTGACTCCTGATTAGGGCTTCAAAGCATCCAGTATTAAACATACAAATTCTGATTAGATTTTTACCGACCAAAAAAGGCAGCTGTTCCGTTTCTGTTACAGAAAAAAAAACCTTTACGTTATTTACAGGACGCTGCATATCATGAACACAGAAAATACAAATGCTTTTTTTTTAAATTCTAAATACAGCTTGTGCCAGCCAACGTTTCCACAGTGCATCTCCTGAAGGAGTGAACTTTACGTTCCCTCGCCAGAGGAAACGAACAAATGCCTGCAAACCTAGCCGCACGTTCAGGTATGCAAAATAAAACACGGCATGATGTTCTTGCAGACCTTTTAGATCACATATGGCACAGCTGAGTGTCCAAAGCAGAACCACTTCATTATATTAACAATAATTATTATAATAGGGCAATATTTTACAAGATATTTACAAATTTACATAATGAAATTCTGCAAAAACAAAAAAATAGAAAGACCCAAGATTATTATAGCAGAGCATGCATACTGCATATGAGGCAAAACCGTTTTTTTCGTGGCCAATTTGAGCAGAACATGACGTTCTGGAAAGTTCTCAAGGTTGAGGATGCTGGCTGGACCTCATTTCAGATTCTTTTCTCTTCTTTAGAGAGTGAACGGGTCACGGAGGGCAAAAACAGGTCCGGTAGGTCTTGTAGTGTTGCGGCTCTTGAGTCATGATGGAGTCCAAAGTTCAGAAGAGGCTCAAACATCCTGGAGTGGGAGAGAGAGCGAGAGAGAGAGGAGAAAAGAAGATGCACCTCCACCTCCAGAAAAGCATCTCCTCTCACAGCAGGAGCAGCGATAGAGGAGGAGTATGGATGATCTTTCTTGACTGGGGTGAAAGTTCTCTCACAGTCCATTGGCACTCATCTTGGATTTCTGGGCCATCTCTGCTCCTTTGGCCTGACAGGACACAAACACAAAAGGTAAACAAGACAGTAAACCGTAGTTATGAAGCACATTAAAAACAACAGCTTAAGTGCTGTACATTATTTAAACATATACTAAAGGGCAATTACACCACATTCTAAATATTCCTGCATAATTAAGTGGTTAAGATGTAAACAGAGTCATTCAGATTGGTTTGGTGTGAAATGCTCTGTTCTAGAGCAACTTACTGAGTCAGAACTGTTCAAAGCTCCCTCAAAGAAAGTTATTACATAAAATGGTTCTTAATATGCTGCCTGATATCTGAGACGTTGTTTTTCTGATGTTTTTGAGTAGAAGTTGGTCTACAATGTCAGTAGATTGAGTAGATGTCAGTCTAAACAGTCCCCCAAGAAAACTTATTTTTCAGATTTTCCACTATAAAAATGTGTTGATAATGGTTAAATGGTACTAAATCTGTAATAAGAGGTTTTCTTTGGGGCCCATTTTGCTCTACTACGCCCTAAATATATCCTTCCACTAGGAACAGAGTTTAAAGTTTTAAACCAAAATCTTCTTTTAGAGGAGCTTTTAGAGGTGGACGTCTGGTTCCTAAAACCACCACGAACAATTCTGACTAGGCAAGTTTCTCTAGAATGGACAATTTTACACCAAACCACTCTGAATGACTATGTTTACATCTTAACCACGTAATTATGATGAAAGTTCCAAAATCAGTGGAGTTCCCCTTTAAAAACAGTCATCTTTGATCAGGTAAGCCAGCAGCACAAACACAGTAAACTGATGCATAACTTAGGCTCTTCAATTTAGCATCATTTCATGGGCTCCAAGTGTCCTGGATTCATAACTTGCACACTATGACAGGACTGTTTTAGCTGTGCAACAGATACAAAAGTGATTTCAGTACTCAAACAGTTAAACGTGTTCAGTTTTCAGTGCACAGCTCGACTGGATTTCACTGTGTTTTTCTGGCTGGTGAAGCCAACGTTAACAGATCTGTAGAGTTAAACAAGATGAAGGTAACAGGATTACAGGATCAGAAGGAAAGCCTTAAAGGGGCAGATCAGCTCTAATCTGGCCTGGTACAGAGAGAGTGAGGCGTGAGGTTAAACCTGGGTTACATAATAGCAGATCAGTGGGTGCGGATCAGGAACTGAGCACAGTTTAGACACTTACGTGTATTAACTGAGCCTCTGGTGACGGCATGTCCAAACCGCGCGGCTTCTCCACCAACTCTTCCGCCTGCAAACCAACCACAGCCACAGCGTCAGCCAATAAGAATTACAAACCAAACTGCTCAGTGTGACTCATAAAACCACAGCAGGTTCAGCTGAAATGCCGTTTTTCCCCTCAGTACATGTGACCTTGACAACAGCAAGGGATTCTGGGAGTTGGAGTTTTTTGGTCACACTTTATTTTGATGGTCCCCTGTAGCTCATCTAGAAAGACTCAAATTGTTAACTATGTAAAAAAACTCCTATATTTTTTGTGTGTTATATTTAATTTGTCAACTTGTGTGAATTTTCATGCATTAAGAACAGAAATTTTTGCATGCCTAACCTCCAACCTCTAATTACCCCCTAGAATTAAACAGGCCGTTTTTGTTACAGTGCCTTCAAGACTTATGTATGTAAATGAGCTCTGTTCTGATTGGCTGTGCTGTATTGAGCCTCATTCAAAAAGCAGATCAGGCAAAAACACTCCTTATAACTTCACCACAAGTGGGTGTGGCTAAACTGCTGTAGGCTGATATGTAAATGTGCTTTTTGTGACATCACAGAAACTGTGGCTGTTTTTGCAGTTAAGTTTCCACATATGGACGGTATAGACTGAGGAATTAACAGTTTGTTTTAACCGTGTTTAAATAAGAGTGATATAATCTGTAAACAAAATAAAAATAGTGAGACAAGTTTAGTTTTCCATAAAATGGGCCCTTTAAGGTCTTGAAAAATATTGGGAACTTAATTTAGATATTAATGTATTAAGATTTCACTGAATATCAGGTAAAGTCACAATTATCTGCTACAGTTTAGCTGCACAATATATACAAAATAATAGTGCTATGGTTATAGTGCTACAAATTGTGACCTTGATGTGCCTTGTGGTATATTAAAGGGGCCGGTAAATGTTACTGTAAACATTCAATCTCTCAGTAGTCCTAAAAATTTGTAACTTGAGAGTCAGATTTGAAAAAAACATCTTAAAATAACAAGAAATACTCTGCCTGATCAGGACTATGTGGGCGACAGTTGCCATATAAGTTGCTAGGCCCTTTAAAAAGACATTGGTGAACCAATAATGGGACATGGATAGATTTGCATCATTTTAACCAAAAACAGTCCTCTGTGATTGGTCAGGATGCTCAAGCACCCAGTAAACAAGCACTGTTATTAAATATAGGTTCATTTGCATAGTGAAGCCAGTGATATCAGTATTACAAAGAATAATGCAGTAATTACAATAAATAAATGATATATCATGCAGCTCTAATCTATAATGGACCATCAGAATGAAGCGTGAGTGAGTTCGTCAGTCAGTATTTTCACCTTCCGGTCCTTAATGACGGGGGCGGAGTCGACCAAAACCTCCACAGAGCCGGAGACGGGCTTCGCTTCGGTTTCAGCAGGAGTCACTGTGGCTTTCTGTTACACACATATACATTTACATTATAAACACAAACACACACAGAGGAGCAGTCCCACTGACGTAAAGTCTCTGTTACACATATACATTTACTCTACTAACACAAACACGCACAGAAGAGCAGGCTTGGTGAAGTGTAGTCTCTTGGGATAAAACGTCATCTCGACAAGATGTGTCTGGGGACGACTTCTCAACTTTTGATGCTAGACATGAGGCGAAATACGCCATTAACAATGGGATATGGGTTTTTCTGGGAGTAAGTGATTGATTTATGTTGCCAAGTGAGTCATGCTTGTTACTCAGCATGTCCTCTTGCTTCACTCGGAGTAGAAGACAATATAAGCACAGCTTCCCATTGCGGGCACAATGAGAGAGTTTGTTTTTTCTCAACTTAAAACGGGCTGTACTTGACACACCACACTTATTTTAATTGACTCAGCAAGGCTGTGGGTGGGAAGCCATTTTTTTTTAGCCATGGCTGTGTTACTTTCAAGCTTATTATTTGCAAGAAAACAAAGTTAAAATGCCAATTCAGATGATGCAAAATGCTAAATATAGTATCCAATTATTGGCTGTGCTGTTTAACATTGATATCAATAACACAACCAAACTAACCTGCGAAACATTATCGTTAGCTAACAGAACAGTTTTTCTCTTGTTAATTTTTATGTGTTCTCTGCATATGCACATGATTAACTGGAGTTTTTGGGGGGACTTTTGACAGGCTCGTTGGACAATGTTGATGAGGTCACCAGCACTCCCTACTGTAAGCTCAAAATTCATGTGGTGTTGGATTGGTTTAAAAATGTCACTCTGTTTGTTCACACCATAATAAGTCTATGCATTTAACCTAAAGCATCGCATGGTCTTTCCACTGATGTTCTCCTTAAGAGATTATGTCTGCAAGATTAGGTCACATGCAGGCATACACCGCAATAGGAAACTGCTAGAATTAACACAGTGTATGAGAGATTAGCATACTTCACTGTTATTACCACTGTATGTGGAACATTGATGCAAGACTAATCCACTGACTAACCCAGTTCCACACAGCCATGAAAAAAAACTCTGCTTTACTGGCAAATAAAGTGAAACTAAAACCTTCCACAAATCATGTATGTGAGTCATATGGAATGCTTTTACCTTTATGTCACTGGACGCCAGAACGTTAAGTATCTTGGTCACAGTGTACTTACTACTTCACACTAGGGTGAGTGAGATGACAAAAACACCACGATACTTTAAGATATTTTCAAAATTCACATCACAAAATGTATTTTTTCAAAACAGACTTTTTCTAAACTGACAAAATGCTAGCAAAACCCATGTAATGAACCCTGTAGTTGTTCAGTCTTCTGGGACACCCGTTATATTCTTAAAGTATACTAGGACTTAATTTATCACAATAACATATTGTCATATCACCCATACTGCAGTACACAGAGTGATCAAAGACTGCATTACGTAAGCCTTCTCCATTCAGCACAGCTCTGAGATAGCTTATCAGTCGGTGGGCTGCATGTGACTGAATACCAGAGCACATTTTCTCCTGCAGTCAGTCTACAGCACTTACATCTCAAAGGTCAGAGACAGTGAGTAGAGGGAGCAAACCGATCATTTAGCATTAGACACTAACTTTACTCTTCTGTGCAACTAAATAGCAACATCTATGTAACATGTATACGCAACTAAAATACGTAGTAAGTATACTGTGACCAAGAGGCTTAACCAGCAAAAAGCAGCGTGTGCATGCGCAGTGTGTGTGTGTGTGAGAAATTCTGCACACACAAGAATCTGTAATCTTGCATTAAAGCACGTTCTGTGTAGGGGATGTGTTCAATATGGAGTTCGGCAAGGGGAGCTCAAACTTTTGCATATGACTGTACATGCCAAAAGTAGCTTCACCAATTCTACTGCAATTTTTTCTTAGGACAGAAAGTAATCCTGTGTTTGATCAGCTTACACATCATTGTGGATCACATTAGGTCATTTTTAAAAACAAAAACTCTGCTTGGTGCTCAGGGAGCAAAGGGAGAAAGAATGCTCTAACAGAAGTAAAGCTGGTCTAATATCTAGGGAGACTCTGGGAAATTACAAAATGACTGTTTACCTCTAACTTTGGCACGGGGGGGATAACAGGAGGTTTTGGTTTGAGGTCAGTGAGGTACATGGCCCTGGACAGCAGCAGCAGAGATGGAGGAACGTTCTCCTTCAGGTGCAGATCCAACCACTGCAACACAAAATCAATACCCAGAGTTAAAATACTGAAGATTCAGCCACAACTCTGTCACAATCTTGAGTTAATAAAAAAAAAAAACACATTTCCCTGAATTTAGTAAAAAACTAAACTCAAAAACTCACTAATAATAGAATAAAATTGGCAGTTGCTTCATTGCTTCAGCTTTCAGAGAAATGCAAATGTAAATTCTCAACTGTAACCAGTTTCTCCAGCAGGGAGAGCTAGTAGCACGCAGGACACTTTAGTGCTCATCATTTAGAGAAGAAACATGAACCCACACCAGGAGGATCCAACCAGCCCATGTGTTTATAACAACAATCTAATAATACTCTGGTTCTAAAGAAGATATTGAGTTACTTTGTGTTATTCATGTGATTTACTTTACAGAATTTCATTAAATCATTTAGTTAATGTTGTAAGCATGTAAGTTATAGTGTGTATAGAATGCAGCTGAGTTTGAGTTTCACTGGAGATCTGCTGATTAAACTGTTTGAACATGTCTGTGCTAACCAGCGCAAAAGAGCCAATAAAACAAACATTAAACAGCGTCTGATTTTCACACTTTATTGTAGATCTATTTAATCCAAACTTTTTTGATTTTCAATTAAAAGAAATGTGATTTTATTTTATGCCAAATGATCATTTAAAAGAAGAGTTTGGCACAAATGAACTAAACATCACAGTGTAGCTGAATGCTGCAGTGTTGTTCTGAATTACTTTGCAATTTCTGTTGTTTCTTTTATATAAATAACTATCAACACTGACCTATAAGCGAATAATTTGGCACAACACCCGTTGTCCTGTTGCCAGCAGAGTTTGGCTACACACTGAAATGTTGTTCATGTTTTTGGGTCACAGTAAGTCATACCCTGTCCTAAACCACATCTAGAATGAAGACCTGGATGTGGTTTAAGAGAAGTTTTGGGGATGTATTTGCAGAATAGATCTGAAATCCAAAATTTGGATACCAAACATGTCTTGTCTGATATAACCACATCTGAGGTGAGTGGAAAATCAGATAAGTTTGATTTTTCAATGAAGTATCACTTTAAATGTGCAGACAGCTAATGGATGGTACCTGCTGGAGCTGCTGACGGAGCTGATCTGTGGTCAGACCCAGAGACCTCATCCCCCGACTACGACACGCAGCCTGCAGCTCTGCCACAGTCATAGCAGCCACACCTTCTTTAGCTATCATCTACAGAGAGAGAGAGAGAGAGAGAGAGAGAGATTTATTGATTATACAGCCATAGTAAAAATGATAACTCACAAGTTTACATCCAGCACATCCAGCCTATTGACTAGAAATGTAATTTCTGGCCACTTTTCTGTTTTCTCTCTCACCTCGTCATCAGCCTTGATGGTGCGCAGCTGCATCATCAGCTGAAAGCGCAGCAGGTTGTTGGTGCCAATGGGCTGCAGTTCCAGGAGTTTACACAGAGCCACCAGCTGGGGTCGCTCTAAATGCTCCAGAGTCAGCTCATCCTCGAACAGCTTGGAGAACTTTACGATGTCCTTGGTGCTGGGCTGCTCACCTGTGTGCCTCACCTGCAGACAAACACCAATTAACCAAGACATGTTTATTGTCAACCGGGAGATTTCCTAACCTGGCATGGTTTGAGGCAAGTGTGTGATGAGTTAAGCATGTAATTAAGCTTAACTAGTGGGGTATTAGCTTCCATGACTACACGAGCCTTGAAGCTTCAGTGACCAAAGGGAATAAGCTTGTTTGACTTAATGCAGTGCTGCACAGTTCGCCACTTGGCTCAGTACGGTGCATGCCAGTTAGCTTTTTTGTCAGTCTTCCGCCAGCAGCGCATCGCAATAACATATGAGTTATAATTTTACAGGAGCGAGGCAGCTGCAGTTTTCAGAGCCAGGCGGCGCAGTTGCTGACCAATCAAGCCAAGAGCCGACTTGATGGCAACAGAGCCTAATCCTCTTTGGCTAGAAGCTCAGCCGACACGAACTGTGTTAAATAGAGCACGAAGCCTATTAAAATGTTTATTATTTCTGATTATTATTTTCATTATTATTAAAGATTGAATTTATATTCTTGAAGACATTTTTTATCTGATATGTAAATGCTGCGAAAGCTGCTGGCTCGCATGGGCACTGATGTTAAAACTGTCCCAATTGATGGCTCTCATCTCAGCTATGACCGCAACCAACTACTCCTGCCAAACACCAAGGCGAGGCGCAGTTTATCTCAAACAAGCCCAGTGACATCTAACCGTGGGAATTTGATTTTTCACTGAACTAATCCTTTAAAGCTTTAACCTGAATCACATTTGTATACAAAAAAAAGTTATTCCAGCAAACTGACACATGCAAAGAGCTTGCAATAAATTCATTCAGATTATGAAGGAAAACCAAATCTGTACGAGCAGACTACCTAACGCTACCAAATATACAACACAATTATTTTAACCCAAATCAAACACAAAGTGTAGCTGGATCACTCAGTCTTTGTCTTTCTTTTCTGTGCTGGTCTGCAGTGATGACACTCTAAAATCTATAAGTCTTCCTAGGTAGTGTACACTTGTGAGTCCTTTGCCGGAATTGTATTCAGCGGGTAGTTTTTAATGGTTTCTTTCGCCTCCTCCAGGTCACAGAGGACAGGAGGAGGATCAGTAGGAAAAAGCACTAACTTTCAGGGTTTCTGGATGCAGCCATGGACTCCATAGACTGACCATTTCAAAACTGTGTCTTAAGTTTCATGCCCTTTCTCTTTCAGTAATACATATCTGAATAATATTATTATAAGAAAAATCTTTTTAAATATATCTACAGCAAGCGTTCATGACCAAGTTAAACCTTTAACACAGTTTGATGAGTGCTGTTAAGGGGTGTTTCACTATAATGAGGACCAATATCAACCCTGTCCAACAGAAGGAGAACTTAAGGCTTACTTCTATTGGATGCTACTCATTTTCCAATTAAATTATCCAGCTTACTGAGAAATCCTGAGAAAAGATCCCTCAGCTGAATTCCGTTACATTTCTGAATGACTTTTCTGTCTGTGCTGACCTGCTGGACGTAGGTGGAGAATTTCTGCGTTTCGTCCCCTACGGCCGCCTTGTTCCGGCGGGCCATCTCCGCTATCGTCTCTTGCAGGAACTTGGCCAGTTCCAGCTTAGCAGCAAGTCCCTTCTTCTGTTTCTCCTCCTGAACAGAGAGTAAAAACACCATGAACCCAAACAAAACCCCCAATAAATCAAATGCTCAAGGGTGAACACACACAGCCCTTTAGCAATAAAACATCACGTGCCTTCTTAGACTCTGTCTCGAAGGTGGAGGGCAGCATCTCAGGGAACAGTTTGAGGAAGACAGGAAGCAGGAACTCCATGAAGGGAACGATGACGAAGACCATGAAGGGGACGAGACGGAACAGGTCTGCACACGTCCTCATCAGCTACAAGGGGACAAAACAGGTCAGCGTTAACCATTCAATTAAACAAAGCCCTCTGAGTTAATGAGAGACACTCCCAGGGGTTCTTTTATTCCCCAAGCTGCTTCCTCTCTTTTCTTATGTAAACTGCTTTCTGTCCATTTACACAGCTAAGCACTATGGGTAAACCCTGGGTCAGCCCAACAGAGGACAGCTGAAGGTTAGTCATTCTCTGACACTGGAATCAATCACTTAATAGATAATGTTCAGACTGAACAGCGCTGTCTGTATTTAGTAAAGGGTCAAATAAGCAGTGGATGGTGGTGGGTTTTCACTTCCTTCTCTAAAACCAGCATTCATTTGTTAATTTTATAGCTTCTCCTATTACAATCATGTGCAAAATTTTGAGCACCCCTGGTCAAATGACATTTTGTTGATTTCTAGTTTACTTTAGTGTGCAATTACTGTTCATTTGCAATAGTTTGACATATTGGGGAATAAACATATATATATATCATTTAATTTATAATTTTGTGCACTGCCAGCTTTACATTGTATGAACATTTAATTATAAACATTCCCATATAATTGTTCCAAAATCATGTACATGAAGAACATTTTTTATTCTCCTGATAAGTTATCATTTTGGAGATATGAAATTTCCTTAAGGCTGTTAAGATGCAGGTGTAATTTGTTGATTTGTGCAGTTCTGTTGTTTCTGCTGTACCTCTGTAATTTCCTTCAGGAATAATTACTATTCTGTCTGTTTATTTATCAGTCTGATTCAGCTCATGAGGAGGATGATGACCTGAAGCAGGTTTTTTACAAGAAAAGACAAACACTCAACGCTGCTCAAATCAAGACTGCAGTGTGAGGATGTAGCCTTAATTTCCTGAGAAACAGAAATTTTATCAAACACATTCAATACATTATTCATACACTCCCTGTTACAAGTTTTGGGACACCTTGCCTTCCTGAGTAACATTCGATTCTCATTCTTACTTTTGCATTAATTAAGAAAAATGTATTTAAGACCATAAAGCTGCTGTGTGCCTCTGTATAGCCTTTGGGTATATATGTATAGCCCAGCAGTCATTGGCCGGAAGGCATGAAACACCCTGGAAAGGTCGCCAGTCCATCGCAGGGCAGATACACAGGCAGATACACAGACATATACAATCAAATTTGGGTATAAATATTACTGTGCAAAAGTCAGAGACAATGCTTCATTATTTAAATTCCAGTCAACACAGTTATTAAGTAAGAACAAATCTGCAGGGACAATTTTCCACACATCCAAACGTCAGTTTTAGAAGTTGGTTGATCATTTTCTGAAGTAATCTAAACACATTCAGTTATGTCTGGACTCTGAGGTGGTCAGTCCATTGTTCAGCTTCTTTGTTTGATGTGACTGTCTCCTTTTCTCAGAGAGGCCTCTTGACAGCTACTCATCCTTTCAGAGCCATATCTGAATATCACCTGAAAAATGTACTTAATGGCTATTTTGACTGGAAATTAAATAAACAAAGGGTTCATTCTGATGTTTGCGCACTACCATATTAGTGTTCAAGTATCTTCTTTGTTAAGAAGAGCAGGTTTTGTCTAAATAGCGATTTGACAGTTTTCTTTTCCAAACTACTGCTAAAAGCACAACTTTAAACTCTTTTGGTACAAAGGTCACCAGAACTAGGGGACAAAATGTGTGACCTCTGGCAACAAGGCTTTTATAAAGAAAATGACAAATTATAAACAGCTTTCTAATCAATGTTAGATTACTGTAAATTAACAAGGACAAATAAAAATTTATATTTGGCAGCATATGTTTATATATTTACATACCCTCCGCCTCTCTCTGCGGGTCAGCTGTTGTCCATGCAGAAGCCGCCAAACCATCCGGCCTGCGATCTTAGTGTCGATCCCCAGCAGTCGGAAGCCGTGGTAGTAATGCTTCAGTTCGTCCAGCACTTTCTGACCCAGTGACTTGCGCGTCACAGCTTTGCTCGGTATGGTCGGTTCTGTGGGAACAGCATTCGTCTTCGTCTCGGACCCTGCAGGAGAATCCTTCAGCTCCTGCAGCCAGGTGCTGGAGCCATGCAGTGCCCGCGAGGGCACGCAGGCAGGCCGCAAGTAGTTGGCACTGGAGCAGCGCAGGTATAACGGCCTAGGGGCACGAGCTATAAGCGCAGCATGGCCAGGAAACTCGGAGTGGTAACGGATGCAGGCGGTGGAGGGCAGGGAGGAGCAGCCGTGCCGTTTGGAGAGCAAGTAGGATCCCCTAGAGTCATAAACAGGTGCAGTAAATACCAAAAGCAGGTGTTCATGGTATGCACATTAACACTGAACGACGTCAACACATTGTGGGTGCAAAACAAGACAGTTTTCTAAAAATAGATTACGCTGTTTTGAAAAAAATATATACACAGATCAGAAGTGGGTCACAGTCTTACCTGGATCTGGTCACTGCCAACAGCACCTGAGAACTGAACACTGCCATGATGAGGCAAAACCTGCACAAAAAAACACAGAGACAGTTATAAGTCAACTGCACTTTTAAGAAAAACTGGCTCAAAATTGAACACCGCCAAGGGATAGGAACCAAACGTCCACCTCTAAAAGCTCCCTCACAGAAAAATATTACATGAAATGGTTATGAATACACCATGTGAAGCCTGACTGATAGTTCTGTAATAAAGCTTCGGCTTAAAAATAATCCATTCATGGTGGAGGGATAGATATACAAACATACACATACATATATTTCCCCATCATCAACATTCCACTCCATACCATTTTGAATAGTAAACAAAATGTCTATATTTGTGTTGTAGACATGGTGACCCCTGGTTCCTATCACCACCACTGTAAATTCTACAACAAACCATTTCTCATCAAACCACTCTGAATCACTCGGTCTACATCTCAAACACTGAACTATGCAGAAACTTTGCAAACTTGGTGGAGTTCCCTTTTAAACAGCAAAACATGTCAAACGTTGCTAAATCTAGTCACTCTGAAGGTTTTAGAGTGTTACAAAGCCAGATTTCTCATCAACACAACTGACAAAGTTAGGACTAAAGTTTGGATTGCACAATAGGAATGGCCCTCTACTCTCTTCCTAGTGACCAAGCTTGAGTATTGACTTATGTTTGAGTGATCTGGCTGACTGCTCCGTGAAATCCCCACCATGCTTTCGCTTTGTTGTTTCCTCTGACTCAGACAAAATGCATAGGAAACAGTGACACCCTGCGGCCAAACTTACGCACTGCACCTCCCCAACCATCCACACGTGTCTGACTCGGTCTGCAGCTGCCAGGTTAGAAACACAAACCCAGCACACTTACCACATTTAACACCTGCTAAGCTAAAGTCAAGGCGCAAAAATCTAAATAATTAAAGAGTCCAGGTCCAGATGCAGCCAGTATAATCGCCCTGACTTGTTGCATAAAACTGTAATTGCGGCTCTCATTAAAAAAGACCATACAAAATTAGGCCGTGATTTAAAACACAACAAAAAAATGCACATAAATTTCGTCTTACGCGATTATACGCAGCGTAAGATGCTGTTTGTTCGGCTGAGTGCGAGAAGAAAAGGCAGAAAGCTGGATACAAGTACAAGAACAAACGAATCTTTTCGACGAATCGCGATTCACATCATGGTTATTAAAAGTTTCTATATAGTCCTACTATTACTATTACACACTACACAAAGATGGTTCGGCAGAAAAGTTAATGGTTCCATTAAGAACTATGAATTCTATTCAGAATTTTCATGCTTAAATTGCTCTCTGGTTCATTGTGAAACTGTTCTTCAGATTGATGGAGAATGTGTTGTATGTTTCTGCATGGAGCCTTTTTGAGACTGGTTCTATATACCCTGCACTAAAACGGGCTCTGCTATTGTTATGACGTCAAGCTTGTAAAAGTAGAAGAACCCTTTTGGTGCTATACAGAATCATTTCATCATGCAAAAAACAGTTAGAATAGTTCTACACAGAACCTTTGTCATGTATAAAGAACCTTCGAAGAACTTTTTAAAGTAGGTATTAACTACAGGTTAGGAAGACAATGAGTTAAACATGATAACGAAACAAAACAAATCCAGTCACAGATTCATGTCTATTCAACAATTCATTTTTACATTCAGGCACTACATGAATCGATTCCATAAACTGAATCGTTCGGACGACACGAGCTGGAAGGCCGCGGTAGCGCTAGGCTAAGTCTGCTACGCTAAAATGCCGGGTTACTGACAAAAAGCGACGATTTAAGCTAAAAGAGCTTTAAATAAAACCACGTCTGAGCGAATTATATGAAAAGTGTGAGATACTATAGCTTATTAAAGTAACGTTAGTGATTCTAACGAGCTCAACTACTCAGCTTGTAGTTCGAATTTTGCCGGTCCACCTTAAAGGCGCAGCAGTTACATTCTGGTGCCTGAGCCGTCAGATTGTAACTACTACATCATTTAAGGTGGAACGGGAACATTCGAACAAGAAGCTGAGCAAATCATCAACACAAGGACTGAGTTGTCATAACCTTTACTTCACAGGCCTAAGAGACAGACTATTAGATGTAAAAAAAACTGGTTTTAAGCAACATACCTGTGGAAAACGTGTGTCCGTGAAGATTTTCGCCGTTAAACGGCAATGTTAATCATTTGATTCGGGGCGAGTTTAGCTCGGCTGTGCTGTTTTCTTCCCTGACCGGGTCAAATTTCCAAAATTTCCTCGTTGTCGACGACAGGGGAGCAAAACGGGTCCTTTTTGAAACGAACTGAGCCATTCACATCAAGCAGGCACTCCTTAATACGCGATTAAGTCTTTAACTTCAACACATCACTGTTGTTTTACCCGTTTAAAGCGATCTAATGTTAGCTGCTCCGGTTTCTCCCGTGTCGAAAGCACCTAGCACATCTGCGAGACTCCCATTGGTGGCCGTGTTGTGATTGACATGCCACATTGCCAATAACTGCGTGCGTTTTATGACTGATGGTGACGCGGACCAATGAGCGTTCTGAAATTCGACACTGGGAGGCGGGCGAAGCAAAAGTAAAGGAAGCCAATCGGCTGGCTGGTTGACCGTTGCGCAGGAGAGGGTCTGGCCAATCAGCTTCGTAGACTAGGACAGGCGATGCCTGTCGGACAGCCCCGGTGACGTAAGGAGCCATGTGAGGATAGGCTCTTCAACACCTCGACTCTGATCTGCGATCAGCTCTTGCGAAAGCGTTTGGGGAGAACTGCGGCTGTAATGGGAGCGAGAGCCGCTCTGAGATCTGTTTTTGCCCCTAAAGTGTCAAATTTCTGTCTTGAAATGGCCGGGGTATTTTTTTACGTAGACTGTGGCGCTGTTTTGTTGCCTGTGGAAACAGCATACACATACCTAAACACTTATTTAGTTAACGTAACACTTCTTTAATCACGTTCACAGCGTCGTTAAAGAAGCATAACGTAAAAATCGAAATGTTTTGAAACTTAAAAGTAGTAGAAGCACAGAATTCACTCTGTTTAATTTCGAATATCTGTTTATACAGTAAGATGCATTAAATCTCAACATTTACATATCAAACTGAATTTATTTGTGAGACATCAACCGTGGAATAAGGAAAAGAGGGTGAATTAGCCTAATGTGGGACTTAGTGGGACATAAAACTTAGTAAAGAAAATTACCATGAACCATGAACACTCAAAGAACCCTTTGCATGATTAAAGGGTTCTTTGCAACACAAAAGTGTTATTCAGATTGATGGAAAATATGGTGTGGATAGTTCTATATAGAACCTTTTTGAAAAGGGTTCTATATAGCACAGAAAAGGGTTCTTATTTTGTTACAAGCTTGACATTGTAACTGCACTCTTAAAAAGATGGTTCTTCAAGAGCTCTTTAGTAAAGAAAATGGTTCTATATAGAACCATGAAAACTCAAAGAACCCTTTGCATGGTTAAAGGGTTCTTTGCATCATAAAAGGGTTCTTTGGATTAATAGAAAATGTGCATGAATGTGCTATAGACAGTTCTATATAGAACCTTTTTGAAAAAGGTTCTGCTATTGTATAGAAGCTTGACACTGTAACAATAGAAGAACCCTTTTTGAAAAGGTTCTATATAGAACCATATCCAACACATTCTCCATCAATCTTAAGAATGATTTCACCACGCAAAGAACCCTTCAAGCATGAAATGGTTCTATATAGAGCTCATGGTTCTACATAGAACCATTCCCTTTACTAAAGAACCATTGAAGAACCATCCTTTATAAAAGTGTACGTTAAAAGGCCTAAATCACCTCAATTCATGTAAAACTTCTCAGGTCAGTAACTAAAATTCTTTGCCTTTTCTGCATCTGTCATTACTGTCCTAGTCTTATTTCTCTGCTTTTTCAATGTGATCTAAAATAGGCTGTATCCCATTGAATTAATCAATAATATGCATAGAACTGAGTGGAAAGATTTTTTTTAAATTGCTATGTATGTTTATGTTTTTGAAATTCATTGCTATGTTCTAAACGCAGAGATTTATCCCTAACATTATCCCTGACTTTAAAAAGCCAAGGGTGCACCTACACACACACACACACACACACACACACACACACACACACACAAACCCTCATGCTATTTTAACAGGGATGCAGCCACCCCAAATTACTGACTATAGCTTGCCCTTCACCCTAAATATCTAAAACAACCTATTAGAAGACTAAAACTTTGTGAATAACAATTGTTGTAGTACAAGCCATGCCCCTCAACACATTTATGTTTGACTATAGTGCTTTTAGAACCGTTCCACATTAGGCAAATGATACTGTCAAACTTTTCAAATTGAATTTCCTAAAGAAAGAAAGAAAATTTGATTAAAATAACAAATATAGAGTATTTTCAGGCACTTTCTATGCCGCTTATCCTACTGAGTCTCAGTAGAAGCTGGAGCCTATCCCAGTGGTCATTGAGTGGAAGACAGGAAACACCCTGGACAGTTCACCAGTCCATCACAGAGCAGACACACAGACATACACCTTAACACCTAGGTGTAATTTAGCATCTCCAGTTGGCCTGACTGCACGTCTTTGGACTGTAGGCTGGAACCCACACAGATAGAGGGAGAACATGCAAACTTCACACAGAAAGGACCCTGCTCACCTAGCTGGGGAATCGAACCCAGACCCTTCTTGCTGTGAGGCGACAGCACGGTGCCACCATGCTGCCCGAATATATTCAGGCCGTATGTTATTTTTTTATGTTATTTCAGGGAACATAATTGTACTATAATCCATTGAAATTATATTTTCTACTCCACACACCCCGTCTAGCCTCCAGGCTTTTTATTTTATTGTTCTGTTTTAAGATATTAAGATATGAAAATGTACAAATACGAACTTTTCACCTCGAAAAGCTTATTTAAGGTTCACAATTGGACGTTAAAACCACTGTTGTACTTTTGAGGGAACGTTTACATTGTTTGTACCTTGATAAACGAAAAATGTACCTGCACAGAACCTTTATTTGTAACAGTGTATATCTGTGTATATCCTTTAGGTGGTCTTCACAGTGGAAGATTTCTCCACCCTAATCTGTGACTGGACATAGGAGAAGTGGTGTGATTTTGATCGCATGACATCACAGCTTTAATAAAGCCATAGTTTTATTGACTTTCATTTGTTTGAGGAAGACCTACACCAAACAGAGCTTAGGTGTCCTGCATTAGGACGATTCACCTGACAAAAAAAAAAAGAAAAGAAGAAGAAAGAAAAAACAAAAACAAAAAAGAAACCTGGCTGGGATTGAAGTAAAACTGAGAAGCTTTTACACAGCAATGGATTTAGAAAACATTGTTTTGCTGCAGGTGTAAATTCATTAATGTAAATATTTAGCACAGATCAGTGTGTATAAAGGTCATGTGAAGGTATTTTTCTGGCAAATTTTATCTCACAGGATGCATTCTTCAATGTTAGAGCTCATTTATAGGTTTTAAAGCTGTGTTATGTGTGTAAACTTACCATGTGGCGAGCACATCAGCACAGACTGGAACTGTGAGATGAAAGCAGTGTTTGTGGTTCTGTATAGCACCACTGTCTTTGCTAAAGAACCCTAGAAGAACCATCTTCGTTAAGAGTGTAGTGCAAAGACCACCACTGGTGTTAAGCATGTTTTTGGAGTAAAATCCTACCAAAACACATATAAATAGTGATTTTGGCATTTTTGTTTTGATAGAAAATTATTTACCCCCTTAAAATCCCAGGCTTCTTACACGCTAAGGCTTATCATTCAGAAACTACAGGGACTTCCATGCAAACTGATGGAGCTATTGTTAGATTATAGAAGTGTGTAATAAAACTTTGGGCCTGCTGGTGGGACCTGACCATTTTAAAGTTTTTTACCTGTAGAGAAAACTTATTTTAACTTTGAAAATCAACACAACACATAATTTAACCAGGGACATTCAAACATTTGCATGCATCTGGACTTGCAGTTGGATCAGTTTATTTATAAGACAAGTGTGGATGGAGCGTGGATCCTTGCATGCGCATTACTGCAATGTAACAACAACAACAATAATAACAACAACAACTCCATTCGTACAGATTGATTGATTGATTGATATATAGGTATGTAAGCACGTGACATTGTTGATTGATCAAAGTAATTTCTGCTTTGGAATACAGTCAGTCAGAAATTGCAAAAACATTAAGAGCTCTAAAACTGATAGAAGAACATTAAAGGCAGTTATAGAAAACAAAAGCTGCCAGAAAAGGTGCGAGGAAAACTCTTCAGATGATGCTGGAGTCTGTTAGCGGAAGTAGAAGTGAGCTAGAGGAGTGAAAACACAGACACTGCTGAGAACTGCTGGCCTTGTCAACAGCTGAGCTCAGCTTGGGGCCTGCAGATATTAATGACCACTCTCTAAAGTTATTGCAATGAACTCAGCCTTCACTTTAGTTCACGTGCCGTGTTTACTATTTTAAACTGTGGGCTAAAAGCAGGCATATTATTTACATACAGTGAAATGAATTTGGTTCACTTGGCTTCTCACATTACGCAGAACAGAGAAGTGGCTAGTCTAGGCCTACAATTCTACATTCCTATTAAAACAGAAATACTTTACTGCCCATGTTATTCAGTACTGCTCTGTTTGTGTACAAAAGGAAAGATGGAAAGTGCAAAATGTGAGCAATAAGGTGGACAAAAAATGAGTGCAATACAACACTGTCATCATGTTATCATGTAAGATATCACCAAACAGTTACTCACTGTATGCAACTTTAAAATGGCATTGCTGATTGAGTGGACATTAATTAAGTCCACTTTATGACGGTTTCAACGGTTTTCATCTTACACAGAAGCCAGTGAAGTCATTATTGTTGTCCACAAGAACAGGAACCCAACACACACACAAACACATAAACACACAAAAAATGCTCTGTTTTTTTTTTTAAACAGATGTTTGTGTCTGCCAACATTTCATCTGCTCTAGTGTATTAATAACAATAAACTTTATTCATATAGCACCTTTCATACATCAGCTCAAAGTGTTTTACAATGACCGAAAAGGCAAATAAAAGCCAGCATAAGAGAAGAAACAAGAAACACATAAAAACATTCAGAAAAGAAAAAAGAAAAAAAAAAACACTACAAACTGTAATAATTAAAGTGAACATCTGCATGTGAAAAGTCATTTGGTACCATAAATAAAATAGGAAGAAAAGCTACACTACATTTTTAAGCTGTTTTATTATTGCTCACCGTGTGCCTTTTGGGAAGGCCTTTAACCGTTTAACAGAAAATAACATTGGGCCTCATTCTCCATCATCTTTCTAAGTTTGTACTTAAATATGCTCTTGAGAAAGCACCTTTGTGCTCTTGATTGTGTGTAGATTCTGTTCTTACCTAAGTACAAATCCCAAATAAGAAAACACTGGTGAATGTCAGAATCTTTGTGAAAACTGTGTAAGAGGGTTGTAAGAAGACAATTTTTCTTAAGCATGGTGGGTAAATGATGCCCAATGACTAAGACTGATTTAATCTAACCAAAACATACTAAATCTTACCACATATAATCTTATTTGTTCATACATGTTTAAGGAGTCATATGAGAGCACCTTCAGCCATAGACTGAGACCACAGAGTTCTTATCTACCAGGAAGGACAACTAAAACATCAGACGCTGAGAATAATAATCATGTGCAATATCACTTTTTTCAACATCATTGCAGTATTACTTCTCTGTATTGTGCGATAAATTCTTTTTGTCACTTTTCAACATCATTCCCAATATAACTTTCAATGTTGTGCAATATTGCTTTTCTACTTTTCTTTTTTAGTTTACATATTTTTTTTTATTAAATTTATCTTACTTTTATCAGTCCATTAGATGATGTAACAGTGATGTTACATGTATTACTCTAATTTTTATTGTTAAGTTGTAGAGCAACCTCTGACACAAGATGAGGTTCTATCTGAATGAAGTTTTATCTTACCTCTTATATAATGGCCAATTATTTTCTCGCATGGAACAGAACATTAAAAACTACACGTCCCAGCATGCCCTTCACCGCACGCCTCACAGCCAATCAGGAGCGCTTTTGTTTTGGCGCTGAGCGGAGGGGGGGCTTTTGTTGGAGCCGTAGAGACACACAGCAATAGCTCGAATTAAATATATGGCAGACAAATTTCCCCCCGATCTGCATCCTGCTAAAAAAAGAGAAAAGATAGAGAGAGAGAAACGGGGCCTCTCCAAAAAATTTCCGGCATGGGGATCGAGACTGGACTGAGCTAACTCCGTTTACCTACAGCGGAATATAGAAACGTGGAGTGTTTTATTCAAACCCTTTGTGTGTGTCTATATATATATATATATATATAACACACACACATATATATAAATACATATATATTGCTATATATATTTATATATATAGAATTATATTTATGTTCCCTGCACCCGGAGTCACACTATTTGCTGTATTTGTTTAGGATGGAACACGCTGAAGGTACCGATATATTTTTTTAACCATTTTCCCGTCGTTTTAGTGCATCATTTTGGGTTCTGAATGAATTACACCACTGCATGCAATTGTGTTTTTGATTAAAAATGAAAAATACAACACGCACATTTCGAGTTTATCACACATTTCGTTCTGAGCGCTGCTGCTGGAAACGTTAATCCGGCCAATTTGATTTAAAGGGGCACCGGCAGCCATGTTAGCTGAAAATACTCTCACTTATCCCCCGTTTATCTACATGTAAGTCCACCGCAGAGTGCCAGATATCAACATTAAACGACCACATTTAACAAATCCTCTTTATTTTGGCCACTATCCTGACGACACACTGAATATAACCATCTTAATTTCCCTTTCACTCGCGTTAGCATGTGTGCTAAAGGCCCCCCGAAGCAGTCGACGGGTTTCCCGACATTTTGAACCATGTTATATCGCAAAATATTCAATGTATGAGCGAATAGTCCACGCCAGATGTTTTAAAATGTCCGTTTGTAACTTGTAATGTCAATAAACGGGGGTTAAACGGCAGTGTTTTGGTTTGTTTCGCGATCTTAGTTAACCTACCAATCAAAGCTAGCTAGCTAATGCGGATTTGTTTTTCTTCGGACGATATTTCAGGTTTGTTCGAAAACGATGTTTTTTTTTGTGTGTTCGCGTCCAACAAATCATGAAATGTGAGCAGAATTCCGGCTATTAAGCATTTTATTTAAAGCATAAACGTTAAAATGGTTGAACTCCCCCTCTTTAATCAAGCTTTGGGGTTGTTGCTGTTGCTAATTCACATTTGCAGCCGTGGAGTTTTGATCAACTTGGCAACAAACGCTGCCCACTGTTAACAGGGCTGATGGACACTCAGTATTAAGTGGATGTTTTTATGCTGAACATCCACTTAATATTAGGGCTGAAAGAATTATCGTTTTTATATCGAAATCGCAATTTAAGAGTGCAGTTTTCAAATCGCAAGAGCTGCACTATCAGACACGTTGTTAAAAAGTTTTAAGTGGGGAAACTGAATGTAATAACACAAGTTTGTGAACTGCTTGTAGATAAGTTAGACCAGTGGTCACCAACCCCTTTGCCTGGAGATCTACCTTCCTGGAGGTTTCACCTTCAGCACATATCTAACACAGTTCCTTCAGCTAACCAAGGAGGTATCAGAAGGCAATAATTATATTAATCAGATTGATATGGATTAGTGTTGGAGCTGAAGTCTGCAGAAAAGGTAGATGTCCAAGAGTGGGGCTGGAGAACACTGAGTTAGACCATTTAGAGGCGGCCAAACCTCCATGTGTTGTGACATCATAACCACAACTCACTGGTAATTTGGTACACTACACTTAGGGGTCAAGCCTCAAGCCAGAGAAGGTGGACGTTCTGGTCTTCTTGCCCAAAAACCCTTAATGTATTAAAAATTGCAGCTAAAAGCAGTCACACTATTCATCAGAAAAACTGCAATGAGATACGTCCCCCAAATCTCTCAGCCCTGCTTAATAAGCCTTTTCAGCTTCTGTCGACAAAGAAACAGCCCTATTTAAATGTCCCTGGAACGCTTGTTGGAGAACCACCCTGTTTAGTGTTTATCCTGTTCTAATGCACTTCACTCAGCAGATAATTATCAGTCTCTTGATGAGTTGAATCAGGTGTGTTTGTTCAGCTCTGAGACTAAACTGTGAAGTGCTGTGATGCTCCAAAAGCTCACTGAATATATTACCAGGCGCATGAGCAGAACTTCACATTTGAGCTCACTTCACAGGCACAGAACGGCTCTAGAATACTAAGTTGGGGCTCCTAATCTAGCACACCTGATTCAGCTCTCATCAAGGGCCTGATAATTAGCTGATGAGTTGAATCAGGTGCAGAACAGAAGCACTTCAGGGTTGAAATTGCATCGCAAACAGCTGTAACAGCCCATTGTAATTACAAATGGGAAGACAACTTTATGAATCATCTCTATCTATATCTCACAATCGAACATGTTATTTGTGGAAGCTGATTAATCTGTTTTTTAACCATCAGTGACATTAAGTGAAGCACTTTAAAGGGGCACGCTAGCCAAAAAGAAAATTGTAACCAGCTCTATATCTGTTGTAAACATTCTTGCTCTCCTGCCGGTGCTGCCACAGTAGTCTCCAGAGTGAGATTTTCTGGTTAATAGTCCAGGGAAACCCCCCTCTGATGATGTATCATGAAGGTGGTAGGACATTTTTTAAAAAACTGCAGCTGCTTTGGGGTGTTTTTGATGGTTGAATTTTTTTTTCTGCTAGCTGGCTAATACAGAAGGAATCTGTATTTATTTATTAGCCTTTATGTCAGTGGATTTCTTTGTTTTCAGTAATTGTATGACGGACTAAGCAACAAAAAGGTTAATAAATTGTGAATTTAGTTAGGCTGAGAGATGTAACACTGCGCTACAGAATATTACACAACAAATAACACAAACTCCAGTTTTAGGCCCGAGTGCCCCTTTAAGATGACTGGTCATGAGAATGTGCTGTATTAATAAAGTGTAAAATGTATAATAATATTTATTAAGCTTGTAACAACTTACAATTTTGGAGAAGTGCATGGACCAGGATCTGTTTCTCTATTCTTTAGAGCTGTTGCATTGCCTCATCAGCTCACTCGTTTTACACAAGGACAAAAGTGCCAAAGTGTAGTATTTAGTAGTGTGCGCAAATAAGGGAATTGTATCTGATATTTTACACATCTGCTGATGCATAAACATTTATGAAATCTAGAAATTGGAGTTGGATCAGCATTACAGAGAAATATTAAATTTATTTCTGCAGTAAAATTAATAACATGCAGATATTTTAGGGCTGTAAGTCAGCGTCACCTAAATATTCTGCTCTTCAGGAGCCGGATTCACAAAAGTGTCAAAAAAAAAATCTTCTTAAATGTGTTGTTTTTTTTTTTCTTAACTTCATTCTTAAGAAAAAAGTTACAAGAAATTGTTATCCTTCAAATAACATCACTGAAAATAAGAATACTCTTATTTTCTTAACTATTAAGAATAATTCTAAGAACAAGTGTTGTTCTTGAAACTGTTATGTTCTTAAATGTTTTCTTGATCTTATGACAGACCCTCACTCATCTGAGGCTGTGAGAGTTGTCAAGGTGATGATCTAAATCAGTCATTAAACTCGGGCGCTGCCTCTGCTGCTCCTCATCCTCGTCTGTCACCCCACAATTATAAAATTTTCCAATGAGGATTTTTTTTTCCTGTTGGCTGTTTCTTCCTCTATCACATCTAGACCTTGTTTGCTAAATTTTTTTTTGAATGCTTGGTTTGATTTTTTTTCCTCAATTTTGCTCCTCTGAGCAGATTAAACTAATAAAGGAAATAACACGTATTACAAAATGTATCTCATCGTTTATGGTATGGGGTAAAATGCAGCGAAGCTGGCATAAGAAAATAAAGAAGGTTTTCTTAAGAAGATTATTAAGATTATCTTAAGAGAATATTTGAAACGTTTTTTTCAGGAGTTGCATTTAAGAAATTTCACAAGTTTTTTCTTAAGAAAGCTCTAGGGAATCTGGGCCCAAGATTTCAATAAGTACATTATCACATGTCAGTTTTACATACTGGCCAAATATAAACATCTGTCCAATGGTGATAATTTTTTTTCAAACAACTATATAACAGTTTGATTTCTGATGTCATTCTGCATCCCTGTACAGTAGTGTAGTTAGAGCTTTAAGACTCTAAACATATTTAAAAATGTAAATAAATCTTGACCTTATTAACAAAAGAAAATGTATGTTGTTACACCCCTAATAATTAGTATTAAAGAACCCGTATTCTACATTTTTTTTCTCATTTTTGTGTGTTTTTGTGGTCTGCTTAAAACATTTTGGATTGGTTTATGTTATGTTTTCCTTACTGCTTCTGTAAGATATGTGATATATGTAAATGAGCTCTGTTCAGATTGAGTGAGTTTTTTTTTGTGACGTCACAAAAACAGAATTCAAAACGGGCTGTTTTTGCAGCTTGGTTTTCATATTTGGGCTACTTGGACTTAAAACTTCAACAATGTTAACAGGTCACAGAGAAAACATAGTTTTGGTTGATATGGGCCCTTTAAAACAGCGTCCATCACACATGCTGACCTGCTGGTGTGTTCTCTTTTCCTTTCTAACTGTTCTTTTCAACCTCTCTCTGCAGGCCCTGTAAGAAAAAGGGAAACTTAAAGGATGCTGGAGCAGAACAATGGATTTCTCCTTCTCTTTCATGCAAGGGATCATGGGAAACACAATTCAGCAACCCCCTCAGCTCATTGACTCGGCTAACATCAGACAGGATGACGTGTACGATGCCATCAGTGACCCAGGGGACGAGGGTGGACCCCCGACGTACGAATCTCCGCTGGAGTCTGGTTTCTCCTACCCTCCTGAAGACCCCCCGGTGGTCGCCAACGGTTATCCGACGGGGATCGGCAGCTACGAGCATCAGGCGAAGTTCGCTTTGTACACGCAGTACCCCAATGGCTCTGCTAACGGCTACGGCGCCATCCGTAACTACGGCGACCACGGCTTGCTGCTGGGTGAGGGGACGGTGTTGAGGACGCCGGTGGTCCAGGAAAAGCCTTCATCTCACATTTCTTCTCCCCCTGCTCCTTCCCACTCTCACCTTCATCACCAGCCTCATCCTCCTGCTCCCCCTCACCCCCACCATCAGCATCAGCACCAACAGCAGCATCAGCACCACCACCCCCCTCCCAACCCTCCGCTGTTACCTCAGCACCATCATCATCCTCATCCTCCTCCGTCTTCTCATCTCCTCCCCCCAGTGTTCACTCCTCCTCCTCCTCCTCTCCTCCTTCCCACCTCTCCTCCTCCGCCTCCTCAGCCCGTCCAGGACGGCGCTGCCACCTCCAACCCCCTCACGCACGCCATAGTGCCGAAAAAGACTGAGAAAAGCTCCCCGGAGATCAAGATCAAGATCATAAAGACGTACCAGAATGGCCGGGAGCTCTTTGAGTCGTCGCTCTGCGGGGACCTGCTGCAGGAGTTTCAGGCCACTCAGGCCTCCAGGAGGAGGCACGAGCAGAAGAAGGAGAAGAGAAAAAAGCGAAGCGGACGCCACGTCCCCACAGCCGAGCTGCCTGAGCAGGCCGGTCAGGAAAAAACTGACCAAACCCCCGGCCCTGCCCAGCCCAGCGAAGGCCAGCCTGCAGCGCAGGAGCAACAGACTGCAGCCGGCCTCAAAAACCCCAAAGCAGAACCCAAGGAACACAAGGTGATGGTAACGCATTGTATTTACTCTTTAAGTACACTCTTAGCAAAAAGGGTTCTATATACTACCAAAAAGGGTTCTTTGGCTTGTAACAAAAGTGGAACCCTTTCTGGTGCTATATAGAACCCTTTTCAACCATCTACAGCACATTGTCCATCAATCTGAAGAACCATTTGACCATGTAAAGAACCCTTTAATCATGCAAAGATTTTTTTGAGCGTTTATCGTTCTGCATGTTTACAAAAGATGGTTCTTCAAGTGTTCTTTAGGAAAGAAACTGATTCTATATAGAGCCACGAACACTCAAAGAACTTTGCTTGATTAAAGGGTTCCTTGCATTGTGAAGGTTTTTCAGATTGATGGAGTATGTGTTGTAGATGGTGCTATATAGCACCCTTTTGAAAAGGTTTCTATATAGGACCAAAAAGGGTTCCTCTTTTGTTACGACGTGGTGCTATATAGACACATATACAACACATTCTCTATCAGCCTGAAGAACCCTTTCATGATGCAAGGAACCCTTTAATCAAGCAAATGGTTCTTTCAGTGTTCATGGTTGTATATAGAACAATTTTCTTTTTTAAGAGTGTAGAGCTGTCACTATTGGGTATTAGTGATCCAAAGAAGTGAGCATTTCTAACCGGAGCAAGACACACCCTTGCCAAAAAATGAAATGAATGTTTTTATTTTTGCTTTTGAATCAACGTACTAAACTTAACTATCAGATAATAAAGAAAATGCTCTTTTGTCGCTGATAAAATTGAGCTGACAATAATTGAAAACATGTAATTAGAATCTTTATCAGAGGCTTTATTCACCAAGCACCAGGTGTACAAGGACTTTCAGTAACACTTCGTAACATGTTCACGAATGCTTGAATCAGCATATATAAAGTATACATGTATATACAAGTTTATACAAGTATATAATTTTCTCTAATATGGACCTCTGTGCCATTTTACTGGGAGACATTTTTCAAATTAAAAGCCCTAATGTTTTTATTTGGGTGTACTGAAAATAATATAGTTTTTCTTAAAAAATGAGAGATGAAAAATAACTTTTGTTTTGAAACATGTCTCTGTACAGTGACATAGTACTTCATCTTAGTATCATATAAAACATATATGCTTTGAGTGTTGATTTAAACATTCATGAACATGTTATGAAGTGTTTTATGTAGACGTTCAAGTATCGTGTTACTAGAATTTGTCTTGTTGCAGAAATTAAATCCAATAAAGTAAATATAGAAAAATGTATATTATATATAAATATAAAATAGACAGTAAACAGACAGTCTGCAAATAATATAAAGGATGTGCGATAGGAGAGGAGTGCAGCTACAGTCAAGTACGTATGTACAGTATGTACAGCTAAAAAGAATTACGCAGCAATTTAACTTTTTAAAATTTATTTTTAAATTAAATAAATGTACTAAAATGATAACAGATAGTGGTTTACCATCCAACACAATAAACTCTATTATTGTTATTGATTTTCACTCTTTGTGGATTGTGAATATTTCCACCATTTCATAAACTGAGTGTACAGTTTGTGTTCCTTTCTCCTGCTGTTGTTTTGCTGCGTATCAAGTTGTGTTTTAAGCTGCTGTCAGACCTGCAGTGGAGAACTTCTTGGGTGTCTTGATGCTCCACATGAACAGAGGTGATAAATCTGATGTGTAGTGTTGCTTGTAGAAGAAGTTACATGTGGCTGATACTTTTACTGTTGATCTGCTGATCAAACAGTTCAAATGTTTCTGTGTTAATATATTTTATTTTCATTTTCTAGAAAAATCTGACATGCTTGAGCAGAACAAGAAAAGCTGACCAAAAAAACACCCAACAATAAGAAGATTAACCAGACCGTTCCCAAAGTTTAAAAATAGTAGACACATAAAAACCTACACCTAAACTAATATGTGACAAGTGTTGTAGCATTTTGACAGCTTGGAAAAGATATAATTCTTAATTAAGATCTTTTTTAGACGATAAAGAAAGAAAGAAGGAAAAATCCCTCCAACAACCTAATGTACCATCTGTAATGCACCTTAATTATATCAATGTATCATTTAATTAACATCTCTGTTTAGAGAAACAAGGTATAATTCATGTCAGATTACCAAGAGAGACACCAAAATTGGCCAGAAACGGCATTTTTAATCACTGTTTTTTCATTTTTATTACCATTTAAATGATTATAAGTAATCTGCTGATTATTTTAATGATTAGTTAATCAATCAGAGGCCAAAACATAAAAATGAACAAGATTACGGGAACAAGATAGAAGCAGGAAATAAATTATAAAGATTCACTAGCACTAGCATATCACTGCTGTGGGAACAGAACCTTGTTTCTCCAATAAGGAAAAACGTTCTTAACTTTTAATGAAAGTAAATGGATAAGTAAATATTTTTATTCCAAGCAATTTTGGACCATTTCTGTTGGTCTATTCATCAAAAAATAGAATTTTATATATATATATAGTTCTTTAATTACCATTTATTCATGTTAAAAATGTGTTATAATAAATCATATTCAAATGAATTATTATAGTACATATTAGCAAATAATCATTGCTGATTTAACAGGAAGTAGATTTAAATCCAGGATGTATTAAAATGGAGTTTTATGGAGTTTTATGTATTTGGGCAGAATCTTTTCTGATATCAGAGAAAAAATTATCACTTTAATGCTAAAATATAAAAAGCACTCATGCACACTGAAATCATTTCACCACAGGTATTATATTAATAAACGTTTATCGAACCTTTTTAATGTCTTAAAAACACCAAATAATTCTCAGGGCTCCTTGTACTTCCTCTCTGAAATGGTGACTCAGCAGGAGAAAGAAAATTGTTTGTAATGAATTGTCTTGTTAGGGATTAAAAATTCATAAAAAGCTCACTTTTTAAAATTTCTGGTTGTCCATTAAAATGTTTACACAAAGTAAATGGTGGAGAAAAATAACAGAGTTTTTCATATTACAGTGACTGTACAGTTGTGTGTGAAAGTTTGGACGCCCCTGTTCTAATGACACATTTTATTAATTTGCTAAGTGAAAAGAAGTGAACACACCTCTGCGTGGAGCAAACGTAAATATGACATCTGTAAATTGTAGTGGGCAGTTATTATTTATTTGCTTAATTCATTTATGGGGAAAAGTAAAACTCAAAATGTGGCATGTGCTTAAGTTTGAAGACCCTTTCAATCAGTAATCAATCAGCAGTTGTTTCCCGTTTTTCCTCGCAGAACACGTCCGGTTCAGAAATGTTTATAGGTTGTTTTGGTTGCACATCATGTTTAAGATCTAACCACAGATTTTCAATGATATTCAAGTCTGAAGACGTTGAAAGCCACTCCAAAACCTTAAGTTTGTGTTCCTTGAAGTAGATGAAGGTTATTTTTTTAACGTTTGTTTTGGATCATGGTTTCGTTGTGTCGTCCAGCTTCTTTTAATCTTCAGTTTCCTAAGACTGTGGGACACTAGCTTCCAGATTTCTTGAAACTTGGTGGAATTTTTTCTTCCCTCTAAAACAATTCCTGAGCCACTGGCAGCCACTTAGCGCCAATGTGTAATATATCCATCCCCATGCTTAACAGTTGGTAACATGCCACCATGGCATCTTCTGTGTGGCATCATGCCACCATTGGCAGCGTACCTATGAGGTGTGGAATGACGTTCCAGTGCAAACATATGAATAACATTTCGGCATGGGGTGGGTGATGTGGGGAAAAAAACGTGTCTCAAGATGAAATGTTCGCGATGCACGATACACATCACAATATTTTGACCCATCAAAAACAATCCATACAATAACATTTCGGCGCTAAATCCAGTTAAACAGGACTAATGATACTCTCTGGGTAATGAAACATGCAGGTGGTTAGTGTTTTTTTAAACACTAGTGACATCCACAGTATACTCAGAAAAGCATATTGTGTATCACGATAACAATAAAATATCATCATATTGCTCCCATGTGTTTCAGACAGTGAAAACAAAGCGGGAGATGTTTAGAAGTCTTCTTTTGCTTCTAAAAGTCTGTGTTTAGTTTCAGATGTGTTTTTTAGAATTTATAACACTCTACAAATTGTCCACACCTGAGGTGGATTAAGGCAATAAGTCGATTAAGCTCTGAAACCTTAAAAAAACACAAGTGGATCAACTGAATGGGTGCCCAAACTTATGCAAAAATTTTAAAAAATTTAAATTTAAATGTAAATAATAGTTGTGCATTAAAATATGCAGAAAGGTGTCATATTTAAGTTTGTTCTGTGCAGAGGTGGTTTTATTTACATTTTGAGGATCAGAAAATGAGCCTTGACATGTCTTTGTGATGTCATGTGAACCAACACGTGAAAATCATTAGAATATCCTTATATATATATATATATATATATATATACACACACACATAATATTAACTGAGCTCTGTTCTGATTCGCTGCCCTGTATTGTGCTTACAAAGTAGTCCAGGCTGAAATACTCCTTATAACTTCAGTGTAAGGGTGGAGCTAAACTGCTGCACACTCTTAAAAATGTTCTTCAAGGATTCTTTAGGAAAGAATATGGCTCTGTAAAGAACCCTGAACACTCAAAGAACCCTTTGCATAATAAATTGGTTCTTTGCATCGTGAAATGGTTCTTCAGATTGATTGATTATTTTTGTTATGCACAACAGACTGAACGTAGTGAACGATGCAGGAAAAGTACAAAAAAGCCCAAAAGGCTCTTAGTAGGTACTTTCCCAATTTAATAAACTTACATTAAATGTTTTTTCTGCTTAAACAGAAAGAAAGAAAAATGTAAAATGGTAAAGAAAAAGGGGCATATAAGCATAAATGTATAAACATAAGAGAAGGATACAAGAAAAGGTGGTTGGGCTGGGGTTAAGTAGAACAGGATTCAAGACTGTTGAGACAGGAAGTGGTCTTTAGCTATTTTTTTGAAGGTATTCAGACTGTTAGATGTTCTCAGGTTTAGTGAAGTTCTGTAGAAGACAGGATGTAGGTTGTTGGAAGGTCTGGTGGAATAGTGATGGATTTTGGAGTTATATTGAAAAACGTTTTGGAAGCAGGCTGGGAGGAGGTTTTGTTTAAATAAAAAGATAAATTGGCTGATTTGATGAATGGTTAGAACAAGCATAATATGAAGAAGAGGTGATCATTCTGACATTCTGGCTTTTGAGGAATAAGTAACCCTGTGAGGTCACTTTTGAAAGTACTAGCCCAGATAATGTTACAGTATGACAGGTTGGATAGATCATTGTGTAATACAGATTGATATATCACTGCTATTGGAACAAAACCTTGTATCTCCAAAATGATAACCTTACAGGAGAAGGACAAAACACACCTTACTTTCAGTGTAACTCAGTGGAACCAGACTTTTTTTCCAAGTAATTTTGGGATTTTTTTGGTGTTTTTTGGTCATTGTGAAATTTACATACAATGTAAAGAGCATCAGGCATTTTCAAATTATGTCAAAAACTGAAAAACAACAAAAATGGAGATACGATGTTTTGTTTCGACAGCAGCAAATGTTTAATTAATCTGATGACACCAATATTAGTAGCTATCTTTTTTGTGATATTACTACAATCTTTCTAGCTGAGTTTCTCGTCAATGAGTACACCAAGAAATTTAAGACGGTGGACACAGTATATATTATTGTTGGAGATGTGTACTGATGTCAATTCCCTTTTTGTTTCTTGGAGTAAAGAGCATGTAAGAGCTTTTCTTGATGTTACCAGATAATTTGTTGTCTTGAAACCAGATATAAATATTAGCTAGTTTGGTATTAATAGTTGTTAATTAGTCTGTGGCCATCTTTATTGGATAAAAACGTGATGGTGTCATCAGCGAACAAAATACAAAACAATCTCTTAGCAGACAGATAAAGGTCATTCACATAGATTAAAAACAGTAAAGGTCCCAGTATTGACCCTTGGGGAACTCCACGCTTAATAGTGATTTTCATGACATCACAGAAACGGTGAACAGAACAGACAGCTGCAGCCTAGTTTCGACATATGGACTGTATGAACTGAGGAGTTAACGATATGTTTTGAAATTCAACTGTGTTTATGTACTACATCAAATTCTTTTATTTAAAAAAAGTGAAAGGGAGAGTTAGTTTTTCATGATATGGGCCCTTGAATGCCTGAATTTTGTGTGTGGTGTGAGGAAACAGCATTTGTTCTGTGTTTTGGTCTTTAAAAACCATTAAAAAGAACGGCATTTGATTTTAACCATTGTGCAATGAAACATAAATACAAACACAATAGACACCGCTTAATCTCAGATGTGTACGAAAGGTAGCAGCTGTAAGGCATTAGATGCATGTTGCTCAACATAATTAGAACGTACAATAGGTGAGTCCAATTCTGTTAGCTGAGAACCCTGCTCTAATATAATCTTCTCATATGCCACGTCTGTGACAAGTATTGTCTCTTTAAAGGAGAATTCCACCAGTTTTTCAAAATTGCTGCATAAATAAATGGTTAAGAAGTAAACAGTCGTTCAGAGTGGTTTGGTGTGAAATGCTCCTTTCTAGAGAAACTTACAGAGTCAGAATAATTCACTGGTGGTGATAGGAACCAGACGTCCACCTCTAAAAGCTCGCTCACAGAAAGTTATTACATAAATTGGTTATAAATACACTGCCTGATGTCTGAGACACTGTTTTATGATTGTTTTGAGAACTTAAAATAAAATGTCTATATTTGTGTTGTAGTCATGGCGATGCCTGGTTCCTATCACCATCACTGTAAAGAAATCTGAACCATTTCACACCAAACCACTCTGAATCGCTCTGTTTGCATCTCAAACACCGAACTAGAGGCTGTCATGTGATTAAAAGCCAGATGGTTGTCAAAGTAGAGTGTCGACAGTGCTGAGATTTGTTTCTTCACTTATTTAAGCTAATGAGCAGCAGTAAGTACAGGCCTTTTTATCCTTAATTAGACAAAAGTCAAATCCTGTCTGTTACATTTTGAACTGCAGTTTTAAAGGTTTTGGTTGGAGTCTCTTACAGCTGTCGTGTTATTGCTGCTCGGCGCTAATGGTTCTGATTTTTGTGCAGGTGGAGAAGCATTTCCCCTCGGTCATCACCAGCACAGGAGTCTGTGTAGAGTATGAGATTGGAGACCTGGTGTGGGCTAAAGTGGGGACGTATCCATGGTGGCCGTGCATGGTCTCCTCTGACCCTCAGCTGAAGGTCCACACGCGCATCAACACCAGAGGTACTGATTCCCTGTATATTTGTAACGTGACATTTAACCCTCGGGGTCCACAATCTCGTCCGCACGTCAGATTCTCTGTGTCTATATCTGTTTCTGTATCTGTGATAATCCAGCGCAGAAATACAGTTCAAACATTTCCTGAATGTGTAGAGTCACTCTTTCCATTCCATCTTATCACGAGATCATACATGACTCACATCCGGAGTTATGAGGCTATGAAGATGGGCTGAGATACACGTCATCTGCCTCTCACCGTGTGGAACTGGTGGATTTGTGTATCCGTCGACATTCTGTGAGAAACTGACCAATGGACACTCAGGAAATCACTAAGGACTGACCTGTCATGCCGGAAACCCTTCATTCTTCATTCAGTCCATATCTACGGTATCAAATCCAATTAAAAATCCCCAAGCGAGGAAGACTGTTCTTGTGTGAGGGAAAACTACTTTTGGAAAAACACAGCTGTTTTTCTGCTCATGCAAGATTTTAATTCATTTTTGACAGTTGTGGGCAGGGTCCCGACATATGATTGGGCACTACTGATTTGTGGAACTGTGTTATGATTGGCTGGCTGTCAGTTGCTGCATATAAAAAACCGGGAACAGGACTTTCGCTCTGGAAGATGGCCTTCAGAATCCGCCAGTACAATGCCATTAGCCGAAACGCTGCCTGTGATTACTTCATTCTGTCTTTATGAATGTTCAGTAATCATGATTAATCACTCTTATCATTTTAAAGGCAAAGATTACGTTATATTTTTTCAGAAGTCCTATTCTAAGGTAATCGCTGATAACTGAAGTTCTTATCATTACACACCCAACAATTTGCAGTGTTGCTTTCTTTGAGTAAGTGGCAGGAATATGGCTACAATGGAGGTTAGGCTACTCATGTCACTCCTAAAAAAAAAAATAGGATAAAATAGTTTATTTATTTACAGTTAGAAATTAGACTACAGTATTCCTATTGTGCTTGGGAGAAACATGGTAGTTACTTAAACACAGCTGTCGACCGGGCTGAAACTGGCTTCTTATTTGGAGTTTCTTATGCAAATTTTCCAGTCCACCTTAAATACTGTTTTTACAGAGGATATTTCGTCGTGATGAGTCAGTTTTATATGTAATATAATGCATGTAATAATTGTAGAACAGTGTCGAGTAGGCTTCTTGTGCCACTTGCGCTAAAATATTCTGAACCTTTATTTTATAGGTAAAACATTAAAAAAAACGATTTAGTAGCCATAATCGCTGTATCAATTATAAGAATAATGTAATATAATATTAGAATAATATAATATATAAGAATAATGTACTAAAATGATTTCAGACTGGCTGAGAGTGAGTAATCTTGATTACTGAACATTTACAAAAACAGAATTCAGTAATTACAGGCAGCATTTCGGGTAATGCCATTGTACTGGCGGACTATGAAGGTCGTACTCCAGAGTGAAAGTCCTGTTCCCGGTTTTTATATGCAGCAAAAGCTCTGACCACCACTGACAGCCAGCCAATCACAACACAGTTCCACAAATCAGTAGTGCCCAATCAAATGTCGGGACCCGACCACAACTGTCAAAAACAAATTAAACTCTTGCACAAGCGGAAAAAACGGCCTTGTGTCGGGCTAATTTTCCCCGCACATGAGCACGTCTTCTTCCACGGGGGTGCTTTTCCTTTCCTAAGTAGTTGTCTTCGTGCGCGAGAGTAGTTTTCCTTGCATGAGAACGGTCTTTCTCGCTTGTGAATTGTGAATTGGATTTGATGCCATACATATCGGAGACACGAGAAATGGCGTGCAGCTTACAGCTGCTGAAGTTGCTGCAGCGGTTTTGGAAAGTAGTGATGAAAGATAACAGAGTATTTTGATAAGAAACATATGAGTATCATGTTATATGAAGAGCCTTTAAAGGAAAGTTTAAGAAGATATGTGCACATTAAGAAAATGACCTCAGACCCCAGAGGGGTAAACACACAGCGCTGTGCCAGAATTTTAGAACAGGGGTGTCGGAACTTATTTTAGTTAATGGTCCGCTTTACGCTTCAAAGTAAAGTGGCCCAAACCAAATAAATGTTATCACATTTATCTGAAAGGTACGTTCTGAATGAACAAACTGATCAGTTATAACCCACAAAACAGATCAGACTAAAGTGTAGCATTAGACGCTGATGAAAAACCATCTTTTACATGAGGTGTGTGAGCAAACGCAACACGAGTGCAATAATATTCATCAGAATTAGGGATGTTTCCATACAATTTTTTTCATACAGATTATGAGTGCATATTTTTAAGTACTTGCTGATACTGATACCACACTGAGTAACCTAATTTGAATGAAGTTAAGTTGTTAGTGTAAATGAGTGTGATGTACCTCAACAGTTAAATCATTAAATCTATCTGATTTCAAATGAAGTGTGTTAGCTAGCTGTGCCACATTAGTTATCTTGGATCGAGTAGCGCTGCAGTGGAGAAGAGCGGGCTTTGTTCCCTGTTGGAAAAGCTCGGAAATCACCAGCTCTCACTGAAAATGAATTACCTCCGGCCGCTTTGTTGCATCGTGTCGCTGCCAGTGTGAGCTCAGGTTTAAGGAGATGTGGATAGATGTTCTGCCCAGTGGTGTCATACATAATTAAATTGTTATGAATCGTAACAATACAACGCTTGTGAATTTTTTAGGACACTATACAGCACCTGATGAAATCTTAAGTTCCATGTGATTGGAAACATTTATAATGGCAGAAATGTAATATCACCAATCTACACAATATCATGATATTTATTTTTTCTGCCAGTAAAAGTGTTTTGTTTGTATGTATTGAAGTGAATGATCTGTATTGTGTTTGTGTGCATTACAGGTCATAGGGAGTACCATGTGCAGTTCTTTGGCAGCGTGGCGGAGCGAGCGTGGATCCACGAGAGGAGGATAGTGGTGTATAAGGGAGAGAACCAGTTTGAGGAGCTTCAGGCAGAAACGTTACGGAAAACCACCAATCCAACAGAGAGACAGAAGGTTTGATTTTTCATCAGCCTTTATTTACACTCGCTGCTCAGAGTTGGGGGGTGGGGGAGCCTTTTCTACTGAAATCTGTAAATGATATCAAACTTTCTTGCCAGTTCTGCTCAACTTTAAAGCATAACTAATAATACATGCAGAGAATAAAGAACAATATTCTGAACTCATATCAGAGTCCCTGAGCTGGCTGAGTGTTTGTTATTGATTGGTGGGGGAGGAGAAACATATTATTGGTAAATATTATTTTGCCCCACTTGCTGTTGCATGGTGATGTGGTCAAATATCAGAAGACGTTTAGAGGCGGAGCTACAGTCAAAAATGAAAAAATTGTTTACATTTTATAAATCTTTTGAATTATATGACATGATGAATTGTGATTAATGTGACTAGAGACTAACACCTTAAAAAAAAAAAACATTCGATATTTGTTTCAGGTGTAAATTTCAGGTCTGACCTTAATGTTGTATGATGCTTTGCCATCATTAAGGGGCCCAAATCATGAAAAACTTTGTTTTTTGACATTTGCAGTACTATATTAGCAAGTTTCAAAACATACCATTCACTCTCCAGTCCATATGTGGAAACTAAGCTGCCTGTTTTAAATGTATTGTTTCTGTGACGTCACAAGAACCGAAACATTTAGACATATTCATCTTACGCAACCTACAGCAGTTTAGCCCCTCCCATTTAGAATGAAGTTATAAGGAGTGTTTCAGCTCAGTCTTCAGCTGCTTTTGAAATTAGGTGCGATACAGGGCAGCCAATCAGAACAGAGCTCATTTACATATGTCAATCTTAAAGGCACAGTGAAAAATACAGCTTGTTCAGTTCTAAGGAATAAAGAGAGGTTGAACAACACAAATGGTATAAGTGGACATTGGGGGGAACAGAAAAATGTAAGATATGGGTCCTTTAATGATTCTGTCACCATCCAAATCTCGAGTCATGCTTTTTTTTTATTTTTTTTTTTGGTAACTAGCATAAAACACCCACTGTTTTGGCGATGTTAGTAACGTATCAACAGACTACGAATAGGAGACTCATGGTAATCGATTGTGGCAGTTTTGTGGTTTTATGTGAAAACGCTATACAATTAGATTGTGTGAAGTAATGCTTTGACGAAAAATCACATTTACACAGCTTTCATTTCAAATGCCACGTTTTTGGTGTGCCAGTAGGTGAGGTATAATGCTCCATTACTCAGTGCCTGGATTAGTCATAATTGGTGTAGAAGCAAAATTAAAACAGCAAACATGCCTTTCCTGATTGACTACATTTGTGTATGAGGGTCATTTTCACAAAAAATATCTCTTTAATTGTTTTTGTTTTTTTTGTGAACATTGATCATTATTGATTTTTTTTTTTGAGGGGTGGACTTGATCTATACCTTCAGTGCAGTACCTCCAATTAATTATGGGAAATAATGAATATTTCATGGGAGATACTGAATTATTCAAAGAAGATACTGGATCATTCTTATTAGGTACTGCATAGTAGATTTTGGCTAATTATAGATACTGAATAATTGGTACAAGTTATGAATGATTTGTTGGAGATACTGAATAACTTGTAATAGTTGAGTAATTATTGTAGATACTCAAACTTTCATATTACATACTGCATAATTCATAATAGATAGTGAATTGTTTGTAATAGATACTGAATAATTCATATTAGATACTACTTAATTCATAATACTTACTGAATATTTCATAGTAGATGAATCATTCATCATTCATAGAAGACACGGAATCATATTAGGTACCACATAATACATAAAACATACTAACTAATTCATAGCAGATATTGAATAATTTATATTAGGTTCTGACTAATTAATAATAGTTACAGAATAATGTGTAGATGTTATAAATAATTTGTAGGAGATGCTGAATAATTTGTCATAGTTGTGTAATTATAGTAGATACGGAATAATTTATAGTAGATTGTATGTTCTCAGTAGTTCGTAGTTCATAAACATTAAGTCTTGAGATTGTAACTGATTGATGTTTGAGGTCAAAAGATCAAATCTTTTCACACAGTGTGTGTCAGTTTGTAATGAAGGTGTTTCTCACTCCATCCCTCCAGCTGCTGAAGCCTCAGTCTCAGCGTGAGCGCGCTCAGTGGGAAGTGGGCGTCGGCCACGCAGAGGCAGCCCTGCTGATGACTCGTGAGGAACGCAATGAGAATTACACTTTCATTTACATCGACAAACAGCCCTGCGATGAGCCTGAACCCGTCACCTCCCCCACCACCAAAACCAGAAAGACCGCCCGACCTGAGCGCAGACTCCGGCGCTCCAGGAGCGTGAGGAAGGAGGTGTTACCACGGCGGCAGCAGCCGCGCCGCCAGTGCAGCATCACCAGCGCTGAGGAGCACAGCTCTCCGAACCGGGATGAGGAGGACACGGACCTCAGCCCTGCGGGTAGGGCTGTCATGCACCCGGTTTCTCCTGAGGGGGGTGCTGTTTTACAGCTATGTCTGTACTAGGGCTGTACAAAAACGACTAAAATGTTAATCATGATTATTTTGCTTCTGTATTTGAATCTTGCATTGCAATTCAGGAACAAAATAGTATTATTGTAATTTATATGAACAAAAAAGTGTTTTCCTCTCATGTTGTACCCTACAAGCCTATATTTTTTAAAAGTACTTTAAAATACTTTGAAAACTTTAATTTTCAAATTATTATTATTATTATTATTATTATTATTTTTACTATTAATATTATTGTATGATAATCATTGTAATTATGATTTATAATTGATTAGAAATGTTGACAAATATTGTTGTGATACACATTTGAGATCATATGGTCTGACACTGCCCCCCCCCCACCTCAGGTCAGTCTCCTAGTCCTGAAGAATCTCAGCCGAGCCCCCGAAAGCCCTCCCCTCCTCCGGTCCGGACACCCTGGAGAACCGCGGCTGCTCGAAAGCTGCTTCCTCTTTCCATCACCATGAAGAAGCTGAATGTGGAGATCATTAAATGCGACTGGCAGCTTCCCAAAGTGAAGGTGGAGCCGCCGCCCAAGCAGGTGGAGAGAGAGGAGAGAGCGAGAGACCAGGCTCGGTCTCCTGAGGTCAGACTCATTTATTCTAATTACATATTCATATTCAGGCTTGTGTACAGACACTTTGGTGGGCGGGCAGCTCAGCAGGAAGAAGGGAACGCTGAACATGCATTAAAATTAATCTAGAGCACATTGAAACAACTTTTATAATGAGAGACTAATCACGTTTCATAGGAAAGTGATTGTAGTGTTAAGAGTATTTTCCCAAGGCAAAATACTAGCAGTTTTGTCTGAGCAGGAATTTAAACCTTCATAATTTCAAAATAAAGAGTTATTAAATTTCAAGACAGAAAATTATTGATTTTTGAAATATTAGATCAGAAATATTAAAACATTACTGTTGCATTAATGTTACAACAGTAATGTTAGTCATTCGTTCACACTTCTAGCACGTCACTATTTGCGTAAGCCGCAACTTAATTTGATTTTGCCGTAGCGCAAGACAAGAAAAAGACTGAGTTAAGACAGCCACCTGCCCACCTTAGGCTAAATGATCTAGATGACGCAAGCGTGACTCAACTCTAGCAAGACTCTCATGATTTTGTTCCAAAATCGGAAATTTGTCTGCGACACTGGCTGTGTTTACACGAAAAGATTTTTGCCAATCCAATTGAAGACTGGGATGTTTATGTGCTCACTCTACTCAACAATCTGATGAAAGAGTACCACTTAGTGTAGATGTTACCATGACAACCAACATCACGTGAGTCCAGTCAGTGAGACGAGCAGCAGTAGGCAGCGCTTGTGTTTTTAATTACTTTAAAATGATGTCAGACAGAAAATGTACTTCACATGTACTTATGAAAGAAGGGCGAGAAGAAAAGACTGCCGTCTTTTAAAGTTCAAAGCATAAACTTCGTCTCCTCTGCAGACCTGTTTCTGCTCCCGCCATGTTGAACTTTATGAACTTTCGCTATTACACAATACACACACCAGAATATACTTAAACTTTCTGATTGGGATTGTAATCAGATTCAGGCGTTTGCACGGTCCTCGTTCAATCAGTTAGAAATTGTATTCCGAGTGTTCATGTGGACATGTTCTATTCTGATTGAGCTATTAGTCATTAATGGATTATCAGGCTGAATATAAACGTGTTTACTGGAATCGCTTGAAAAGTTGTTTGATGTGAGGCTGGCATTAAGCAGCAGTCCTCAGATTTCTGTCTAAATGTAGACAGAGCTGACAGTGTTGGTGGGAACTAAAGCTAACCCACCTCTAGTGTGAGTTCTAGCAAATATGCTTCATGTTCCATAGACCCTCCTGGTTCTCTTCATGCTTGGAACTCCTTTACTGGCTGTATTTCTTGTACAGTTTTCTATATTTCAATGATGGCATGGTTTTGATCTGACCTCTCTGTCCTGTGCGTGCAGGGCTCGAGTGATAAAGCAGAGGCTGAGACGTGCTCCAGCGAGGAAGAACGAGCGGCTTCACCTACAACCTGGAGCGACCCAGAAAGCGGGGAGCACACTTCAAAAGGTACGGACTTAAACATCCACCAAACAGGCCTTGGATTTTAGTTCTAAAGTCAAGACTTCATTAGATTTCTGATATGTTTTGTGTTAAAATGTTCGCAGTTCTGCAGAGCTCTGGTTTTGTTTCACATAGGTTGATTTGGTACCTGTAGAACTGTTTTGAAATACTTGTTGAAATTCTTGCTCTCAACAAGCCCAGGACCAGCTCAGTCATAGCACAACTCAATGCTTGCTTACATGTAGGCATTCTAAGTTTATCTGTATGTTGTTCAGTTCTTTGTTTTTACTATTTTGCACAATAAAATATTAAAAAGCCTTTTTTGTTTTATCTCAGTTGTTAAATATGGTTCTAAAAGTGAAAGAACTAATAATAAGACACTGTTCATTTAAAAATAACTTGGAAATGGATTAAGGTAAAGGCCTTATTTACAACATAGCAGAGTAAAAAACAAAAATATAGGGAAATTAGGCATTAAGTAGCATAAATAAGAATTCGATCTGACCCCATAAAGAAACACACACTCTAACGGTCCTGGCTTGGAGGGCTATCATAAGTGAGTGTGTGTGTGTGGTGTGTGTGTGTGTGAGTACAAACAGGATGAGTCTGGCTGCTCTGTCATGAAACTACAGTGAATTGGCAACCATTTTGAGTCTTTTAAAGCACTTAGGATGGCATTTCTCTACCTCAACCAGCTACAGCAGTTGCTTTTAAGAATTGTAAAATACCGTATACTCTGATACCATGATATTTTTTGAGCCGGTTATTATATTGTGAAAATCTCATATCGTTGCAACCCCAGTGCCTACACAGGTTAATGTGTCTGTGTGTGTGTGTGTTCTGTGCGTTCTGTGCAGAAGCGATGGAGAGGAAGCAGCAGCGCCGGTGTGTGCGCAGCCGCTCAGAGTCAGAGAAGAGTGTAGAACCCGTTCCAAAGAAGAAGGTGAAGAAAGAACAGGTAGAACAAAATCACACTGTCCATCACTGCAGCATCACCTGCTCTATAAATACAGCCATGCAGTACATTTACCACCACTAATACCTAATACTCCACCTTGTGTATGTATGTATATAATGTATGTATGTGGGTGTGAGTGTGTATTGACATTCAGTCAGCTTCGGTTTTTGTCCTCTTGTGAATGTAAACATTATTTATAAATACTGTAGAGAATGGAATGTGGAGTTAATTTTAGTGTTAAACATTTCAGATAAAATATTAAAATTCACTAGCAAAACAAATACAAATAATGAGAGTTAAACCAAAGCATTTCTTTCATTGACTTTCACTCATTTTAATATAAATATATTTTTTGTCATATTTTGCCACTTTTTACCTTTTTACCTATGATTACCTTTTTTTCTTTGCTGATTTTGCTGATATATTTTCGCTAAACTCATCGAACACATATTAAACACATTTACCACACAAACTTTGGTGACAAATGGAGACTAAGTGACCGGGCAGGATATATTTGTATACTGTAGTTATTTCTTGCGTGCATCCTGCCACGTAGTGCCAATTTATAACTTAAGCACGTTTATTATTGCACTTAAGGCAATAAAGGTTTGACACAAAGCAGCTTTTCCATTTTCATTTCCTACATTATGTTTTACAAGGTCAGTTTTGTGTAAAGTACAGTTTGAGTGCGGCGTACAGGATGCTGTATGTGTGTACAGACGTTGTAGACGTTTGACTGAATTCTAAGAATTATGTCTGCCTTTGTCTTCCAGGCGGAAACTGCACCTCAGATGGACTTTAAGACGGGATCGCAAAAAGGTGAAGCTCTCCTCACATTGTTAGCGCAGCTGTTCACACCAGCATTTACTGAAACGGATGAACAGAAACATTGCGGGTTTCAGATGTGTGCTAGAATGACAGTGAATATAGTGTTGTAGCTTAGTCGTTATGTGTGTGTATATATATTTTTAGATCACACTGTTGGTAAGGAAAGACGTACTACTATTGTAGAATAATACTACACTCCATTTGTCTAGAACGGCCCAACTGATATGAAAATGTTGTGGCAAATACAAAACTGGTTTTAAGAGGTTCCAATAACTGATAAAAATTCATATTTGAAAAATGTAATTTTATACTGCAGTACACTCTTGAAGAGATGGTTCTTCAGGGGTTCTGCAAATGGTTCTAAATAGAACCATGAACACTCAAAGAACCCTCTGCATGATTATAGGACTCTTTGCATCATGAAAGCGTTCTTCACATTGAGGAAAAATGTGCATGGATGTGCTATAGATGGTTCTATGTAGAGCCTTTTTGCAAGGGATTCTGTATAGCACCCAAAAGGGTTCTTCTATTGTTACAGGCTTGACACCGTAACAGTAGAAGAACATTTTTTGGTGCTATATAGAACCATTTTCAAAAAGGTTTTATTTACACACTCCATCAATCTGAAGAACACTTTCTTGATGCAAAGAACCCTTTAATCATGCAGAGGGTTCTTTGAGTGTTCATGGTTTTGTTTAGAACCATTTTCTTCACTAAAGAGCCTTTGAAGAACCTTTTCTAAGAGGGTATGTAGTTTTAGTTAAATAGTGATTAATGATTGATTTCATTATCAGTTCTTAGTAATTGCACTTCATAAACACAAATAAAAAGTAGAAACTCACAGTGTGCAGTGTTTCCCACAGAATTTTGTGGGACTATGATGAGTGGACCTAGCTGAGAACCCTCTAAGGGGGTCTGGGGGCATCCTACCCCCTGGAAGGAAGTATATTTTAAAGTTAAATGCGTCAGTCTCGTGCACTTTGAGCAAAATTAAGAGGTTAGATGTGTGAAGAACTCTGTGCTCTAAACAGTTGTGTGCTTTAGTGATTTTGTCATAAACACACAGGTTGTTTGGGTGTAAATGACACAGTGAAAAGGTCACAAAGCAAACGGACGACACAAAAGAACGACTAGAGCTCACATTTCAGCCGTCAAAGAAACAAAGCAGAAGTGGTTACCTGTGTTAAAAAAAAAAAACATGGTTACCTGTGTTTATTTTTTAGAAAAGATAAAATACTGAATAGAGAGTATACAGAGTAATATACAGAATAATTAAAAATAGGCTTATTTCAACTGAGCTGAGCTGTAGAGCGCAGGGGTGGGTGATGTGACGATCTTACAGATGACCACGGTCACTCATTTAGATAAATACATAAGTCCATATTTGCTTTTACACGCCCTGTTTTAAAGTGAGGAGACGAGAGTCGAACACGCTGACGTTAACATTCGCTAACAAAGCTACATTTTTAAAAAGGGTTCTTAAGTAAAGAAAAGGGTTTGGTAAAGAACTGTGAACACTAAGAGAACCCTTTGTATGATTAAATTGTTCTTTGCGTCACTAAGGGGTTCTTAAGATTGATGAAGAATGCTGTAGATAGTTCTATAATGAACCTTTTTGAAAATAGTTCAGATATTTGCGATTGTTACAATGTCAAGCTTGTCACACTAGAAGAACCCTTTTGGGTGCTGTATAGAACACTTCAGAATGGCTCTACATAGAACCATCTACAGCACATTCTCCATCAATCTGAAGAGCCCTTTAATCATGCAAAGGGTTTCATGTTCATGTTTTTTTTATAGAACCATTTTCTTAACTAAGGAACCCTTGAAGAACAATTTTTTTTAAGAGTGTAAAGTTGAATTAACATTAATTACCAGTAATGACTTCTGTGTTGACATTATCTGTTTACTGTCTTACACTGATAACGATAAGACTATGTTTGGACGAGTGTGGAACTGCAGTGGACACTAAAGTAAATGTTACTGACCTCAAGTCAAACGGTGTTGTGTTGCATGCATACATGTGTGTGTGAGCAGGGGAGGGGAGGGGGTCTGACTGGTAGTGCAAGATGCTTTGCCAAAGTGACAGGGCAAAACACAATGTTCTTTGTTATTATGCGAAGTGTAAAGGTATTTTCAGTTCATTATAAAACTCTGGCAGGACAAATTAGACTATAGCAGACCCCACAATGTAGGTAAATTAATGGGAAACATTGGTTGTAAAAATTATAAATATTGTAGGCCTTGGGGTGATAATACAATTCTCTTCATAAAAAGTTATAACATTTTATTCTGACACTAGAGATGATGTTAGAAGTCTTTGTTTTAACAGTGATTTTGTTCAGTGTTTAGATTCTCCAGTTCAGTCTATATTGATGTCCTATAGTTAAACGGTGGGGCTCATATTATGTTCAGCAGTTGGGGCCGTTTCCACAATGTTGTCACAAGAGTTCCTGTGATTCCACAACCAAAAAAATCACTAGTCGTCTACACATTGTTGGCATGATAGATCATTTGGCCCTGTTATGTACTGGGTGATTTGAGCGGCGATGGTTTGTCCTGTGCTGAGATGGTATTGCTGTAATGGGTAGTGTGCCTGCAGCCTGCTAACAGCTCTGTGCTCCTGCAGGGGCGAGTGAGATCTCAGATTCGTGTAAGCCACTGAAGAAACGCAGCCGGGCCTCTACGGATGTGGAGATGGCCAGCTCTCTGTACAGAGACACATCTGACTCTGACTCCAGAGGACTCAACGACCCACAGGTAACAAATCAAAGAAAGTATGTATCTGTCATAAGGTCTCTCTCTCTCTCTCTCTCTCTCTCTCTCTCTCTCTCTCTCTCTCTCTCTCTCTCTCTCTCTCTCTCTCTCTCTCTCTCTCTCTCTCTCTCTGTATGTATACATGTATATGTGTACATCCCTACTCATAAGGCTTCTTTTTGAAGGAACCAAAATTGATAGCGTAAAGTTAGATAGACGTAGTGTGGTTTGTTAGCTATGCCACATGAGAATAAAATTCATTATTTCAGAATTTTAACCAATCACTGAAAGTTTGTATTTTGTGTATTGTGTTTTGAACAGAGTGGCTTTGGGAAGCGCTCAGACAGTCCTGCTACAGTGGACGCTGATGGCTCTGACGCTCAGTCAGTTGACTCTAATGTCTCACGGCAGGGCAGCAGCTCCTCTAAGAAGGACCTGGTGTGTCAGGTGAGAAAGCTCACAGGGTGGTCTGACACAAAAACCCAAACAAAGGTCACTTTTTAACGCTGGAGTTTAGCTGTGCTCTTGCGTCATTGTGCGGAAGGAAGATAAAAGCTCTAGACAGGTGTTCAGGAGAACTGTGTGTGGTGCCTCTGCAGGTGTGTGAGACGTTTGGGGATTCCCTGCTGAGCTGTGAGGGCGACTGTAACAGATTGTTTCACCCTGAGTGTCTGGCCTCCGCTGGGGGGACGGAGGGAGAGGCCATCTGCACTGAGTGCAGGACAGGTCAGATCAATTACTACTACTGTTGTTGTTCTTCTTCTTATTGTTGTTGTTGTTGTTGTGTTATTGTTATTATTCTAATTATTATTATTAATATTATTACTGTTATGTATTACATTATCAGCAGCACTGTTTTGAGTAGAAAACCTAAGAGCTCAACAGTCAGAAGCAATCGAACACCCATGTGCTGTGACATCACAATTAACAAGCATTTTAGCACACTATGTTTCAGTGTTCGAGCCTCAGGCCTAAAAAAATTTAAATTTATAGAAATTTATAGATTGCAGTTTAAAATGACAGTTGCAATATTGGTCAGAAAAATCGCAATTAGATATTTTCCCCAAATGTATAAAATAATGTGGTGAGGGATAATGTAACTTGGTCAGGATAAACATTTAAAGTGAGATAATGGTGAAAAATAATAATAATAATAATACACAGCTCAAACTAAAAGAATGGACAATCGTTATTCTAGGAAACTGCCTTTAAGTCAAGTCAGAATGTAGATGTTACATGTGTGAAAAGTATTCTAGACATTAATGTAGTATTATTGTTATTATTATGGCTACTACAGCTGTTAAACTGACAGTATATGATGAACTGTGACACTTAAGCTTAAATGGGTTTAACATGGAGTGCAATAAATTAATAAAATGATGGAGAATGCTGACGCTTGATATTGTGTTGTGGGTGCATCACAGCAGATCCACGTACACGCTTAAAAATTATGGTTCTTTGTGGCTTTTTGAAAAAGGTTCTATATGGCACCAAAAAGGGTTCTTTTATTGTTATGATGTCAAACCTGTTACAATAGATGAACCCTTTTTGGTGCCATATAGAACCACCAAAGAATGGTTCTGTCACTCTGAAGAACCATTTCACCATGCAAATAACCCTTTAATCCTGCAAAGGGTTCTTTGAGTGTTCATGGTGCTATATAGAATATAGGTTATATAGGTTCTTTACTAAGGTACCCTTGAAGAACCATCTTTTTTAAGTGTGTAGTGTACACTGGAAACCTTTTATAGCAGTGTAGTTCCACTGAATTTGATGGTTAAGTTAGGCTTTACCTTCACACTCACTCACTCTTTCCTTCTTTCTTTTTTTTTTTGTCTTTCTTTCTTTCTTTATCTTTTTCTCTCTCTCTCTCCTCCAGGTTCCCACCCCTGTTTCTCCTGTAAAGTCGCTGAAGGAGATATAAAGCGCTGTTCGGTAAACGGATGTGGTCGCTACTACCATGAGACGTGTGCTCGTAAATACCCGGGCAGCGCCGCTGAGCCCAGAGGACTGCGCTGCCCTCAGCACAGCTGCGCCACCTGCTGTCTGGAGAGAGACCTGCACAAGGCCAACAAAGGTCAGGCACATACATACACCATCAGAAAACACATTAATATCTGGTTATAGAATTTATAACACGTTTATAAATCCATAACTAGAAATAAAATATAAAAAACAATGCTAATGAACCAAACGTTAAAACAAAAAAAATAGTTAAAATTTATACTATATAGTAGTATATAATAGTTTTATATTATATAATAAAATAAAATTAAAAATACATTAGATAAATTATGACATTAAAATTAATGCATAATTTCTAATTGTTGTGGTAAATTAGATTATTATATTAACATGGCTAATATGCCCCATAAACAGTACCTCCATTGCTAAGTACACACTTAAAAAAGATGGTTCTTCAGGGTTAGGGTTAGTAGAGAAAATTCTATAAATAACCATGAACACTCATGATTAAAGAGTTCTTTGCATCATGAAAAGGTTCTTCAGATTGATGGAGAGTGTGTTTTATTTGTTTCTATATAAAACCTTTTTGGAAAGGGTTCTATTTAACACCAAAAAGGGTTCTTTTGTTGTTACAGGCTTAACATCTAACCCTTTTTGGTACTAAATAGAGCCATTCTCAAAAAGGTTCTATATAGAACCATCTACAGCACATTTTCCGTCAATCTGAAGAACGCTTTCACAATGCAAAGAACCCTTTAATCATGCAAAGGGTTCTTTGTGTGTTCACGGTTCTACATAGAACTGTTTTCTTCACCAAAGAACCCTTGAACAGAACTCAGTGATTAGTGTTTGTTTTGCAGGCCGAATGATGCGCTGTATCCGCTGTCCCGTGGCGTACCACACTGGAGACGCCTGCATCGCGGCAGGCAGTGTGGTCATCACACCTCACGTCATCATCTGCAGCAACCACTCGAGCGCTCGGAGAAATGGCCACTTGTCCTCGCCTGTAAACGTAGGCTGGTGTTTCATTTGTGCCCGAGGTAAGCCTGGTCCCTTCACCCTCTTATACAGAGAGTCAGTCACCAGAGAGCAGCCAGGCTGTGTTCATATGTCTGGTTCTTTCACAGCGAAACGTGCGGAACGCATGCTTTTCCTCATTAATATTGACATAGCCATAACAGAATATTATTAGTACTTCTCATACAGTACGAATAACTTAATGACTGCTGGTCCTGTGTTGTCTTTGTCCATGTAAATGTTCCTTTTCTAACTGTAGGGACACTTTTTGAATGCAGTTTCTAACCTTTCTTTCCTTTTTTCACCTAATCTTCTTCCTTTTAGATGTACTGTGTGTCCGTAAACCATCGGAGCGTGTTTGTTTCTTGATAATCTGTAAAAGATTAATTCTGTCTGTGATCCTTCAGAAGTGTGGCTGAGGTTAAAGTGGACGCAAACAGACGTTTCCCTTTCAAATAAAACAGTTCGTTTCCTCTCTCTTGTGTCCTTTAAAGGTGTTATCAGTGATGGTGAGCTCACGCATGGCTCAGATTTCTGTAGGCCGCCTTCTCAGGGCAACTTGCTGTAATTTTGGCTGAAAAAAACAGTGATTGTGAGTTAAAGGTGGACAATATGGCAGAAATATTACAACATAAAATTTAGAGACTTTTTTACAGTACACAGTATTATGATATTTAGGCCCAATTCCATTTCACTCCTCGCCCCTACCACTCAGCTCTTGCCACTGTGTTTTGTGCGGTCACGTCTAGGGGTAGGGTGTCTCAATTCTTGTTGAGGTAGAGGGGTAGGGCGAAGCGTTAGGGCTACATGACCCTCCAAACGGAGGTTTTTCAGACTCCAAGCAGAGTGTTTTGAGAAAGAACAGAAAAACCGGCAAGATGGCTGCACAAGAGACCAAAGAAACCCACAAATGTGAGTATTTTCTCTCTTAAAAATTCCAATAACCATTGTATTATCTTAGTTTAATGTTGTTTCAGTGTGTTATGGCCCTTTTCTTCATAACAAGCATAAAAAGTCGCTAGTAGTGCTGATGTCTCGGTAGCTAGCTAGCTACGTTTCCCATTCAACCTTAAATGGTGCAGCACCATTTAAGGTGAAATGGGAAAATTCAAAGGAGAAGCTGTTGAATAGTTCAGCTTTATATCACTGAAGAATTATGGGTGGGTGATAATAAATAATTGCCCCCCCCCTTTGAAGGCATATGATTCCCTAAATGTAACTAAAGCCCAGCAGTGAGGTTGCTGAACTTCACCCTCCTCTGCTATCACTGCAGACTGGCAGGGTCGCCTACAGAGCACCGCTAGTAGCCAGTTAATGAAGTAATGTTCTTTTTTATTTGAGGGTCTCATTTCATTGGGAAGATTTCAACCACTACACCCTGTAACTCAGTTCCAAGGGGCAAGGAGACACTCAAAAACACGGGGTAGGAGTAAAAATAAGAAATGGGATTGGGTCTTAGTTTTTCTGAAGTTTAGAAATGTTGGAAGGGAGAAAATTCACCAGCAAAATAGTAGAGCCACACTAAAAATAGTATAAAGTAGAAAATTTAAGAGGAAATATAAGGGTTCTATATAGAACCATCTTTTTTAAGAGTGCATAGTTTTTGTGATGTTTTTGACCCTGAACTGGCAGAGAAAGAACGCTGTTGCTCTTTTCTGTCGAGAAATTTCTGATGTCACTTTTTTCTGGAGTTTTGTCTGGGACTTGGAGCAGTGGGAGATCAGGGAGAGTAGCTGACGTACACACGCCGATTGCTCTGATTGGTACTCTGGCAAATCTGACGTACCTGCTCTAAATTTAGTCCCACCAACTCAAATCAAGCTGAGAAGAACGGCAGAAAAATTGATTGACAGAAAAGAAGTTAATCTCTTATAGTACACTTAAAAATGATGGTTCTTCAAGGGTTCCTAAGTAAAAAAAAAAAAATGGTCTATATAGCACCCAAAAGTGTTCCTCTGTTGTTACGATGTCGAACTTGTAACAACAGAAGAACCTTTTTTTGGTGCTATATAGAACCATCTACAACACATTCTTCATCAACCTGAATAAACCATTTCCACATGCAAAGAACTTTTAATCATGCAAAGGGTGTTTCAAGTGTTCTATGTTCTTTATAGAACCATTTTCTTTACTAAAGAACCCGTGAAGAACCATCTTTGTGTGTTCCTTACAGGTTTGGAGCAGTCAGGCAGATGGGAAATTTCTGTACTGTGTTTGAAAATCTGACCAGGTCGACTCATAACAGCTCATAACTCATAAAAGCTCAGTGTGAAGTGGTCTGTTTTTCTGCGGGGGGGCTCAGTCATGCAGGGCTGAATCAGACCAATAGGCAGAATCGTCCACTGTCACTAGAGCCAGGTTGTTTGCTCTGATTGGTACTCTGCCTTGGAGACGCCACTGTCATTCATTTTGCATTCTGACACGGCCAACAGTTTCTTTATCAGCTATTAAATTATGTTCATTTATATGTCTTTAATATGACACTGGTAAACGCTTTTTCCACAGCACATCTTTGCTATTAACACAAAAACTTAAACGTTTGATACCATGTTGACGGACTTAAAATAGTTGTCTTAGCTTAACATACAATTTAAAATTTTTAGCCTGTACACTAGCAAAATGAATATGTTTTCACTCTCAAGAAAAAAAGTGTAGCTCTGCTTGATTTGCCTCTGCTTAACTGTAGATGACAGTAGAGATCTGCACTGCTGCTGGACCTGCGGGACCAGCCACAATATGCGGTGCGGGACTAATTTTCAGTGCTGTGTGTGGGAGCGAGTTGGTAACCAGCCCACTGCAGGCGGGAGTGGGATGAAATAAGCATGAAGAGAAATCCCACAAATTATTGAACAGCCTAAATGAAGTAGAACGATCGGTAAATCATCAGCAAAACACCAAAAATAACCACTCTATGGTTTAATTCCTGCTTTGTGTTTTCTGGGAATAAACAGTGTTTGGTGAAGTTGCTATTTCAGCAGAGAATAATGTGTTTGTGAATAGACTGTCAGATACTGGATATCAGTTGGCCTCGATGGAGCTGCGTCAGTGTGTGGTGGATCATTTCCGCAGTATAGTGTTAGCTGATGAAAACATTACTAGGAAGCAGGATGCGAGATGGCTAATCATGACCACCGTAGGCTTGTGCTTTGTTTGAAGACGAAGAACAAGTTGGGTTTTTTGGGGGGAAAGAAGTGCAAATCTGAGCAGAAATGTGCCAGAAAGTCCAAAAGGAACATTATAGTAGAAATTACAGTCTAACAGTATGCTACAAAATATATACACATTGTTTTTATAGCTTTTTTGAAATGTAGCACTGCTGTTTTACTGGTGCATTTTGTTTGTTTCTACTTCAGAAATAACAATATGTTGTGATTCATATCATGTATCGTGAAAACATTATTGTGATATTATAATTGTTTCTACATCGTCCACCCTAACAGAGTGAAGTTCTGTGAAAATGCTGAAGCATCACTGATGACACCTTCAGCCTTTAGTGTTCATACTCTACTCCCTTGTGCTCTCTTTTCTTCTGATTAATAGGTTAGGAACTAATTAAGAATAGAAGAGTGTTGATAATTCTTCTGTATTGTCTGTAGTCCTGATGGTGGGGGGCTGTTGGCATGGGAACAGATTTTATCTCTTATTCACACTGAGTAATTCTGTACCAGAAAATTTAAAAAGCCATAATCTGGTGGATTATTTTGAGCAAAAATGAGTCATAATCTGAATTGAATATGTATCAGGTTTAATGATGCACCGAAATCAAAGTTCTTGGCTGAAACCAAAAACAAAACTCAGTACACACTCCCAAAAAATTTGTGATAAATTTGTAATAAAAACAATTTCTATGAAATAAATGTACTGAAATTGTTACTGTACAGTCGAATGCAAACTTTTGAACAACCCCGGTCAAATATCGTTGTGCTGATGCGAAAACATAAATATAGCATTTTTCTGCTAATTTTAGTGCACAGTTTTCTTTTTTACTATTTTTATTATTATTATTTATATATATATATATATAATGTTTTTGGGGTTTTTTTTGGTTTTGTTTTTTTCTTTGCACAGGTCACATTTTATGGATTTTTTCCCAAATATGATAAGCAAATACTGCAAATATTGTGCATTAAATTTGCATTGTGTGCAGTTACACATTTCCACCAGAGAGGTCTCCAAATCACCAAAACTTAGAAAAGCCCTGTTCTGATGGGATTCAGTTTGCATGTGGTTTCCTGAATAATTTCCTGTTTTACAGGCATTACTCTGTGGCTTTTATGTCCGGAGCAGCCATGTCTCTTGTCCTCTGCGAAAATTACAGGCAAAATTAAGACTGTTTTTAACTCAGTAGTCGTCTGATAAATTTAGTCCTACATATCTCTGATTTTTATGTATTTTCCAGGCACATATCGCATTGTGCTGGGAAAAAAATGTTTTTTGGGCACTGCTCTTTGCTGTATTTTTTATTTATTTTTATTTTTTTTTTTAAATTGCAGAACAGGTTAGCCCACTGAGACCAAGGACTTACAGTGGCGCCCTGTAACACATGCATGAAATACAGTAGTATAATATAGACCAAAAGTCAAAAGATATTGTACTTTAGCACTCAGTTGAAAGTTATTCCACACTAACAGATTAAACTAAATCACTTTATATTCACATATAACTTTATTTTCACGTACACATGCATAGAGCGTCATCATATATGATGCAAACGTCTGGGTTTGGATAATTACAGCCCAAAACTGGCGCTTCCTGTAGTAATTTTATTTTCTGGATGATTTTTATTACTGAAGAGACATGTACTTTGTACTTTGTTAATTTGTTTTAAACTTATGTCCCCATAATAATAATAATAATAATAATAATAATGCGTTTTATTTAGAATGCGTCTTTCATTTAGAGGATCTTAAGATGCTACAAAGATAAACTCATAATGTTTACAATACAATAATAAAATCATAATGTTAGGTAAAAGACAGTACGTAGCCATAATGAAAAAAATAAAATTATTCAATAAATAATCAAATTTGAAAAGGGCTATAAAGTGGCTGTACTCTCTATTTCAAAGTTTTTAGAAATTTTTCTCTTATTTTCAGTCCTAAGTGGTCAAAAATGGCACTTTCAGTTATCGGACAAAAAAAAATTCAATTCTGAAATTTTCGGTGCAGCTGTTATTCACAGAAGTCCATAGAGGCCATTAGCTGTGGCTGTAATTTTCTGTATTGTGATCTTGAGATCACAGTTTAATGTTGTTGTGATTTTAAAGATAACATTTGTTATCTCAAGATTACAAAATAATTAAGTTGTGATCTCAAGATAGCTTTGTTATCTTGAGATCACAACTTAATTTTGTTGTGATTTCAAGATAACTTTTGTTACCTCGAGATCACAATACAATTAAGTTGTGTTCTCAAGGCAGCTTTGTTCTCTTAAGATCACAAGATGTTAAGTTGTTCTCTTGAGATCATGACTTAGTTATGTTGTGATCTTGATAACAATCCAGAAAATTGTTACTACCTCATGGCCTCTCTGGACTTCCGTAGTTATTTGCATTTTAACCCTGACATCACAGAAACTCCCAGACCAACACTGAACTCCCCCCAGACATCAGATTTCTGTTTTCTCTTTCCAGGACTCGTTCACCCTTTTTAACAGCGTGAGTCTGTGCGTGCGTGCGTGCGTGTGTGTGTGTGTGTTTGTGTGTGTGTTTCACCGTGCTGTGTGTTCTCTGTGTGTGTTCTCGGGGATGGTGGGTAGTGTGTGATTGCTCATGGATTTTCCTGTTTGTCTCGTGTAGGGCTCTTAGTGCACGACCACACTGACACCGTTTTAAGTTCTTATACCTTTAAGTCTCACTACCTTCTGACTGAGTCAAATCGTGCTGAGTTGATGAAATTACCTATGATTCCTTCTTCTTCGTCAGCTACCAAAAAGAATATCGGAAAAGGTAACATCACGTTTTCTTGCCATTTTTAGTGTTAATCGTTTGTGTGCTTCGTTTGTTTTCAATCTTAGTGTTGGCACCCTTTTCTGATTTGTTTTGTTTAGTTTCAGTTCAAGTTTCCCATAATTTTGCAGTTACTAATGCAAATGATGGACTTGAAATAACTCACCGCATTAAATCACACCTTAGAGCCGTAATAAAAACTCTTTTCGTACAAACTTTTATCGTACACTTAGTGTCCACTGAATTTAGTCCACCTACCTTGGAGCTACCTTTCATTTTATATTGTATAAGCACAACGTGGGTGTTTCTAATAAAGGGGCCAGTTAGTGGTAGCACAAGGTCGGTGTTTCTAATAAAGTGGCCAGTTAGTGGTAGCACAAGGTGGGTGTTTCTAATAAAGTGGCCGGTTAGTGGAAGCACAAGATGGGTGTTTCTAATAAAGTGGCCAGTCAGTGGAAGCACAAGGTAGGTGTTTCTAATGAAGTGGCCAGTCAGTGGAAGCACAAGGTAGGTGTTTCTAATGAAGTGGCCCATTAGTGGAAGCACAGGAAAGGTGGGCATAATACCATACTCAGTAGTAAAGTCATAAATTCCCAGAATTCCTAACTCTGCAGGTGTAAGGCAGGTTATTTTGAGTCCTAGAGCTGCTCGGCTGTAAGCTTGCTTCAAATCACCTCGTGTTTGCTTGAGCGCACCCTTCTGTATCCAGACTCCAAGCATATTTTGGATGGCAGCATGCAAATTATTTGCATTTCTTTCTCTTTTTTATGTCCTTGTTGACATTTTGTTGCACACAGTTTATTTTTTTGCCATCCAAAATAATGGCTTTTTAGCCTCTTTTGCTGTTAGTTTGAGTATTTTAAATGCAGGCATGCGCCTCATCGCTATGTGTCTGATCCCTTTGCTGTGGCTGCATTGTAAATCAAACAGCTCAAAGGTTTTTAGATGCAAATTTTATATTCCTCAAACCTCACCCTGAAGCATGCATGCCTGAACCATTCAGAATACTCACTAAGTCTCCTCATTAGAGTTGCGAATTGCAAATTATAGAATGAAAATTGGCGGAAGGAGCTTTTCTTCCTCAGCTTTTTTAAAAGTTTGAAAGCTTTATTCTCTTCAGTTACTGATCTGCCAGCCAGTGCTGAGATAGTCCTGTGTAACGAGAAACGTTTTGGGCTAAATCTGGGGGAACGTAGATGTATTAGGGTGGAAATAAAGTGAGAGTGAAATTTCTAAACCAATCCCAATGGCAGAGCTCACGGTAGGGGGCGCTGGAGTGCTTGTCAACACTATTAGACGGACAACAAAGCTAAAAACATACGGAGGTACTCAAGCACCTGTGCAAATTCCTTGTTAAAAGAGGGTGGACTAAGGAATTTGGGGGCGGGGTTTAGAGGCTTGTTAGCATCAGATTTCTTAGCATTCCACCACCAAATATTTAACAAGTTGTCCCAAACGTGTATTCTCACTTAGACAGCAAATATGTTATAAAGAAGCCTCGTATTTTATTAATCATCGCAGCAGACAGCATAAAAGTAGCCTAACTGCAAACAAGCTAGCAAGATAAGTTGACCTGCTAATATTAGCTCATAGCCAGCATACTAGCATTGTTACTGTCTGAGCAAAACCTTTTACCAAAATGGTAACTTAAGAGAAGGAAAAAACATTACTTGTAATGGAAGTCAGAGTAATATGTTTTGAACAGAATATAAAGAGTAATTGGAATTTTCAAATTTTGCAAAAAAAGTAAAACAGACAAAAGTGGAGATATGAGTTTTTTATTTGACCACAATGATAAATTAAAGCAATTTTTTTTTACATTTGAGATGTAAACAGAGTGATTCAGAGTGGTTTGGTGTGAAAAGGTTCAGATCTCTTTACAATGGTAGTGATAGGAACCAGGGGTCGCCATGACTACAACACAAATATAGACATTTTATTTACTATCCAAACCACCAGTGAACCTACACGTGTCTTCTGAGTTTTATATGGATGGATGAGAAAATAGTGAGCTTTTTAAGCAGCGTGTTTTTAATTACCTTAAAATGATATCAGACTGGTTAAAAATGGAAAACCTACTTTACATGTCCTTATTAAAGAAGGGCAAGAGGAAGACATTTTGTTCTGAGACACATAAGATGGATGCCCGTCCCACCGCCGTTTTTTAAAGTCCAAAGCATAAACTTCGTCTCCTCTGCAGACCAGTTTCTGCTTCCAGCATGTTGAATGTTATAAACTTTTGCCATGGCGCAAACGAACATCCGCAGAACGTACTTAAACTTTCTGATTGGCAATGTAATCAGATACAGGCGTTTACATGGTTATCATTCTTCTATTTAACGGATTATTTACTAGATTACCTACCTTGTTCAAATGGATAGAAACTGTATTCCGAATGGCTTCAATCAGACTAGCCTGTTCTGATTGAGTGTATACATTAACATGCTCTATTCCGATTGAGCTATTAGTCGGATTGTTTAGGCTGCATGTAAACGTGGCTAATATCTCAGATGTCTGGCAGTGTATCCATAACTATTTAAAGTAATTCAGAGGTGTCAGACCCCTGAGACCTCTAACCCCACTCAGTATCTGCAATCCGCTCCTCAGCTGTCTGCATTTATTCCTCAGTGTTCGAGACAGGCATGCTGTCGGGTGAGGTTTGGAGAATAGCGCCCTCTAGTGTTTGTTAGCAGAGTGGCACACAGTAACGGGGTGTGCTCCTTTGTGTATGTGTCTCTTGCGTATGCATGTGTGTTTGTGTGTGTGTGTGTATATGTGTGTGTGTGTGTGTAGGAGGAAGGCTGCTGTGCTGTGAAGCGTGTCCCGCCTCGTTTCACCCCTCATGCCTGAACATTGAGATGCCGGAGGGAGTCTGGCTGTGCAGTGAGTGCAGATCAGGAAAGAAACCTCATTACAAACAGATCGTCTGGGTCAAACTGGGCAACTACAGGTAAACCTGCACCTCACATACACAGTTGTAAGCTTAAACAAGGTCTGGGCAATACAGCAATATATATTATTATCGCGATGAATGATTTTACAATGCACTATGCTTTTCTGAACTTACCTGTAGACACTGACCAACTGCATGTTTCATTATTATAAAGAGAGCAAAATAAGTCCCTTTTAACTTGATTTAGTGCATACAGTATACCAAATATTGAAGTAATTATTGAAAAAATATTGAAAAGTTTGTAATAGTATTTTTTAAAATGCAGAACAACTGGTTCTTTTTTTGTCTTTCCCAACTGATCAGATGTCTGAAAAAATAAATATAATAAAATTGTGTATTGTGAAAATTTCTTGAAGTATCACAATATTAGATCTTTTCCCATACCGCCCACTTCTAGCTCAGCCAGCCCTGAGATAGTCATGCATAACAAGAATGTATGGGAATGATCATGAGAAGTTTTTGGGCTAAATGGTGGGGGGGGGCGTAGATCTATTGGAGTGGAAACAAGGTGAGAGTAAAATTTCTAAACCAGCCCAACAGATCATGAAGCAGTGCTCACAGTAGGGGGCGCCGATGCGCTGGTCAACTCTGTCAGAGGGACAACAAGGCTGAACAGCTAACAAAGTACTCCTATATCGTGACGTATCATATATTGTGAAAATTTATCGAAGAATCGCAATAATAGATTTTTCCCCATATCGCCCACCTCTATCTTGAACACTATTTAAATTCCATATTGTAGATTTTCTGAGTGAAGGGGGGGGGGTTGGGACAAACTTGTTCACATATAAAGTTCAGTTAAAACATGTCAGTAATAATGTTTATTATTCACATAGTTTGTTTTTGTATTGTTATTAATAATAATGATTGTTATTACTGTTATTGCCATGAAAAGGTAATTAAATATAATACTATTAACAGTTACAGTCATTTGTTTACTTACTTGCTTACTTATTTATTTATTTATTGTTATTGTAACCTTCATGTATCACCTTTTAAAAAACAATGTACAGAGCTTTTCACAGAAAAAATAACACAAGCCAAAGTGTATCAGAAATGAAAATAGAAACTACTAAATAAAGCTACATTTATAAGGAAAGTAAAAACATGTACATAGACAGCAAATTTACAGCAGCTTAAAATAATAAAATTGAAAGGAAATGTTTACAGATTAAAAGTTTGAGAAAAACTGTTGAAAAACAGTTCACGGATGTTGGATTGTGCTGATGCTGATGTCCTGTATGCGTTGTTGTGCATTTTCTCGGTTGCAGGTGGTGGCCCGCCGAAATCTGTAACCCTCGCCTGGTTCCGTCCAACATCCAGAGTCTGAAGCACGACATCGGAGATTTCCCTGTTTTCTTCTTCGGGTCCCACGACTATTACTGGATCCACCAGGGCAGAGTGTTCCCTTATGTGGAGAGTGACAAGAACTTTGCTGAGGGACAAGTCGGGATTAACAAGACTTTTAAGAAAGGTACGAATAAGAAACATAAAAAGGCATCATCATTTAACTAGGGATGTACCTAATGATTATTTTTATTATTGATTAGTCTACTGACTAGTTTTCAGTTAACTGTTCTTACTATTTTGAATGCATTATAGAGCGCTTTTTAAACGAAACAATAGAAGTCTTATCGCCCCCTACACTTCCTGTAGTGTTTTCCAGTCTGTCAGAATGACTATGTGGATCATATGGACATTATAGAGCGTTGACAAAAGAAATCTTTTTTTCCTAATTGGTGTATCTGATGGTGTATTTGTTTCAGCTGTCGATAGACATTTGCAGGTTACTGTATAAACATAATTTATACTAAATAATATACATTATCATGTTTGAGCTTTTTGCTGCTCTGAGTTTTGAGCCTGTGTATGATTTTGTGTGTAGCTCTGGAGGAGGCAGCGAGGAGATTCCAGGAGCTGAAGGCTCAGCGCGAGACGAAAGAGGCTTTAGAACAGGAGCGCAACTCCCGCAGACCCCCACCATATAAACTCATCAAGGTACAACACATACTTTACCATACATACTCTGTTAGCAGTAACTTCCCCATAATTCTAATTCTTCTAATTCTCCCTAATTAGACACCTGATAAAATTTTATTTAAAAAAGTTTTTAACCTGAAAGTGTTTATTAGCTCTGGAAACACTAGTATTAGAATAAATTAAAACAAAATGAAGACATTAAGCAGTGATTTTATATATATTAACCATTTCCAGCCCTCTTTTTTGTGGCAGCCCGGTATTAATTCCAATTTTTAATAAAATGCCTAATTCATCTTATTGCATTAAAATGAAGTACGACAAATCCATGCGATGGCTGGAGTGCAGCCAGAAGTCAGGAACCAAATATGCATTCTTCTAACCAGCTCGTATCAATGATATATTGTATTTTTACAGACAAAAATGTACATTCTGTCCAGATAAATGTTTTTAAATGATTTGCTTAGGTGCATGATGCTATAATGCTAATGTAATAATGCTATGAAATGAAAATTTTTTTTTAACACTTTGTGAATATCCCTGGCAGTGTTTGAAGTGTGCCGTTAAAGGATTAGTTCAGCAAAATTGGTACAATATTTGTTTTTAGCGCAACTGTAGTCAACATGTTTGGTGTCTTAAGTTTGCATGGATGAAGACAGTAGTATCCTGAATTTCTGTCCATGCTTTTGTCATACAGTGTCAGAAACCACATCATTAAGTCTATTTGGGATTATTTATCTACACATGGTTTAAGGCATGCATGCCAAATTAATTATGCAGCTAGCACACTGCTAATTACCTTAAATAATCTTCCATTACTCATTAGCTGCATTAGCTTCAGAGCTCCAGTGCTAAAGCTAAAGAAGCTTTGTGTTAAGAGGTAAAACTGAGTAAATCTGATATTTGGATGAATGAATGCTTTAAAAGTGTTGAAGTTGTTCATTTCATTTTATACTTCCTGCTTCGTCTCTCTGCAGTTCAATAAGCCTGTGGGGAAGGTGCAGGTGCACGTGGCCGATCTTTCAGAGATCCCGCGCTGTAACTGCCGGCCGACGGACGAGCGGCCGTGCGGTCAGGACTCTCAGTGTTTGAACCGCATGCTGCAGTACGAGTGCCACCCGCAGGTGTGTCCAGCCGGAGAACGCTGCCTCAACCAGAGCTTCTCCAAACGCATCTACACCGACACTGAGGTCATCAAGACCAGCGGCCGCGGCTGGGGTCTCAAAACCAAACAGGACCTGAAGAAGGTCAGCCAGATTTATTAATTGACTAACTGTTTTGTTTAACCCCATTGCAGTCGGTCAGAATGACTCTGTGGACCATATGAACATTATAGAGCACTTTTTGAATAAAACAAGAGAAGCCATATTGCCCCTACACTTCCTGTAGCGTATTGCAATTTGTTTATGAACAGTATATTGACTTTTTTCCCCCCATGAATGACATCATGGATCACTAACTGACATTGACAGCTAGTTATTTGTGGTCCCACAGTAATACATTATGTTGTAAAATGCATGAACCTCACTTAGATAAACACTGAAAACCTGTGAGGGATAGTTGTGTCAGTATTCATATCTCTTAACGACTGGGTAGTTTTAAATTATATTGCTAGATTTTGAACTGAGTTGAATTTATGAGTAATATATTTGTTTCATACTTTAAAGGGAGATTTTGTGATGGAGTATGTTGGAGAACTGATTGATTTGGAAGAGTGTCGTCAGCGGATAAGCCACGCAAACAAGAATCATGTGACAAACTTTTACATGCTGACCCTCACCAAGGTATTTTAAAATATTTCTTTTATTACAAATCTTTTTTATTGTATTTGATGTGTATTTTTTATGTTTTGGTCAGAAATGGCAGAAGAAGAGTAATTTATCACTTGTCTGTGGCTGTTTATATGTCAATATGTAAAATAATAATTCATAATCTCAGTAGCTAGTATTTGTTAATTCATCTCATTGTTTAAGTATTGTATGTATGGCATGCAGTGTTTTATGTGTCAGTGCCAGAGAAAGATTTTCATTTTATGTAATCTAATGGTCAGAAAAGCTAATCTATTCACATTTAAACAAATTTTTGGTGTATCTTGATTAACCCGTTTTTGGTTTTGTGTTGTTTTTACAGGACCGTGTGATTGACGCTGGACCCAAAGGAAATCTCTCTCGCTTCATGAACCACAGCTGCAGCCCAAACTGTGAGACGCAGAAGTGGACGGTGAACGGGGACATTCGCATCGGACTCTTCACGCTGTGTGACATCACAGCAGGTGAGAAACTGATCCCACTAAGCTTGTATCAATAGCAGAATCCTGTTCTGAAGAGCCATTTCACGTTGCGAAGGACCATTTGAGCAGGCAAAAGGTTCTTTGAGTGTTTATGGTACTATATAGAACCATAGTCTTTACTAAAGAACCCTTGAAGAACCATCTTTTTTTAAGAGTGTGTAGAGCTCTGAGTTAGAACAGTAGGTTTGCGTGTTTTCCACAGACACTGAGCTGACGTTTAATTATAATCTGGACTGTCTGGGGAATGGGAGAACATCGTGTCACTGTGGAGCAGAGAACTGCAGCGGTTTCCTCGGAGTTCGGCCCAAGGTACGTCCACGCGGTGTGTTTGTCAATACAGAGTATTAACCTAATCACTGTTGATGCACGGAACACAAGCACTTCATAATTTAGTTTTTTCCCCCTATTATTATTTCTTTCTTTCTCATTTTTGGTCTTTTTTTACTTCTTATCTCTTACCTTTGTTCTCTCTCCTAGGGATGCATCAAAAGTATATCCATTGAAAAATTTTGTCCAAAGCATGAAAAAAGGGCACTTAAGGTTTTGCTCAAAAGAGTGAAAATGCAGAACATTTTAGGGGGAAAATTTTTAATTTCTTGAAAGACAAAATATGCCTACAACAAAGAGGCAAAATATAACCCTTTACAAAACATTTCTTTGGTGAGAATGAGAATTAAACAGTGTTTTTCTTGCACTGGTCACTGCTGACAGCATGTCAAACAAAAATTAATTATAGAAATTTGTGCAAAAAGGCAAATTAAAGCTTTTTGTTTTCAGATTTTGGCCAAGAATGTTCGATTTGGTGCACCACTGCTTCTTTATTTATCTTTGGTCCTCGTCTCAGATGTGTATTGTTCTGTTGTGGCTGTTGTGCAGAGTGTAGTGGTGATGGAGAAGGAGGAGAAGGTGAAGAATTCAAAGCTGAAGACTAAGAAGCGTAAGCTGAAGCTGGAGAGCAGGCAGACCCACGAGTATTACTGCTACTGCTGCGGTGAAGGTGGAGAGCTGGTCATGTGTGACAAGAAAGACTGTCCTAAAGCCTATCACCTGCTCTGCCTCAACCTCACCAAGCCTCCATACGGTATGCTAAAGCTACACCAGAGCCTGAGGAACTGGTTCTACCACAGCTTTCAATGGAATGTTCTTCAGTTAAGCTACTTATTGTGTTGTGGTGCTTTCATCATGAAAATAGATGACTATGTGCATTGCATGAACATTATAGAACAGCTATGTCAAACTGGGGACCTTCTTGGCCAAAGTGCTGTGGAGATCAGCGTTCACTCTTATCTAACGCTCTGAATTCAGCTCATAAAGGCCTTGCTAATTAGCTGAAACAGGTGTGTTTAATGAGACAGTGTGCTGATGTCTGCAGTGTTTTAGCCCATGAGGACTGGAGCCTGACACATGTTATAGAGCATTGTGAAACCACTTCCTGTAATGTATTACAGTCTGTCAGAATGACTGTGTGGATCATATGGACATTATAGAGTACTTTTTAAATGAAACAATAGAAGCCATATCACCCTCTACACTTAAATTCTAAAATATCATGTAAAATATTGTGATTAGAAGTGGATGATATGCCAAAAATACAAAATCATGATGCATGACACCCGATAAGTTAAAACGGACAATAAAGAACCAGCAGTCAATAAAAATTAAGTACAGTGATTTTTGTACAGCATTTCACACACTGCTCTGTGCTACATCCAATTAAATATATATGCTCTATATGTAATAAAATGTGCAGTTGGTCAGCGTTCTAGAAGTACTGATGACATTCACTATATACTCAGAAAAGTATATTGTTTGATAATGTGGCATAATTTATCACAATAACAATAAATAGCATAAGATCGCCCAGCTCCAATTGTTGTGCATATTGTTTGTGATTATCAATAAATATGAAAATTTAGTTCAAAACCACAGATATTTTACTGTTTAGTATTCATCATTTCACAGGCAGACCAAGTATTCGTCACATTAACTACAATTAAAAAAGAAAAATACTCCCACGCTTAAAATGATATATATTTACTCTAGTGATTTTATGGTTTTGTCAGTTATTATCGATAAACTATTGATAAATCATTAAGCAGTCCTAGCTTTATACTCTGTATATTAGATGTTAGTGAGCAGAATCTTCTGCATCGACAATGTTTAAGGTCAGAGTTACTTTACATTTCGTATTCAGAAAGCAGAGCAAAACCAAAAAAAAACGATAAAAGTGTAATTTTTATGGCTGTGTTTCAGGTCGTTGGGAGTGCCCGTGGCACCAGTGCAGCGTGTGCCAGCGCCCCGCCTCCACCTTTTGCCACTTCTGCCCCACCTCCTTTTGCCGCGAACACGAGGCTGGGCAGCTGGTGCTTTCGGCCCAGGACAGTCGACCATGCTGCCCGAAACACGACCCGTCTCAGACCGGCCGGGCCAGAGTGAAGAAGGAACAACCGGAACCAGGGGAGGAGGAGGGAGAAGGGGAGGAAGAGGAGGAGGAGGAGGAAGAGGGAGCGGCGGGATGCGGAGGAAAAAATGGAGAGCGAGGTGGAGATGCGGGGGGCGAGTGACTGGAGGGAAAAAAGGCGAAACTGAAAACCAAACCTGGTGACTGGAACTGAAATACGAGGTCCTCCAGAGCAGCCAGGTGTGGGCGCTGTGGCGTTGAAAAAGTGTTATTTGTTATTCATTCCAGGTCTGGAGCAGCTGGTGAGCTTTTTGAGCCACAAAAAGTCACTTCACTTCTTCAGAAACAGTACGGTAGTCAGGCAGTCACCATGGGGGGAAAAAATCACAGCAAACCGTCACTTTACTGATGTTTTCAACCCCTTCCGGAAGCCGCGGAGGCTTTTTAACGCATTTCATTCTCTGTACGGTACCCGCAACACACTCCAGAACTTGATTTTATGTACCTCATGTAAATAGAAAGGATTCGTATGAGACATGTAGGTCATCGGAAGGATTTCGCTGCGTAATATCGACTATTGGTGGTACCTTATGAAAGAAAAGAAATGAAAAGGAAAAACAAAACAAAAGCAGTCACTGGACAGCCTGTGGCTGAGGTTTGGTCACGTGCTGCCACTTCATACCTGTGTGTTTGTGATTTGTAAGATATATATCATTATTAATATATTTATGACTATGTTTACATCCACTCACAAGTGTACAGTATTGTTCATTGGTATTAGTGACTTTGATATCACTATTCTTAATGTTGTATATGTGCCCTATGATTAACCCTACTCCATCGCTTGGCCTTTTTGTTGTCTTTTTGCCTCACTCTTTTTCGTACAGGACTGTAAATTCAGACGCCGGGAATTAGGAGCTACGTGATCTACGGCGACTTGACATGCGTAGAAAATCACAGCTAGCACTTAGCATTTTCACCTCTTTGCCTGAGACGCGAGGTTTCCTCAGTGTTATTACCAGCTTGTGGTACTTTTTAAGGTACCTCGAAACCGTACCTTGCTGTTGTCTCAAATTTGGCCATCGTTAATAATCCTAACACTGCCATCTTCAGATTTTGCCATCGTTAGTGTTGTGCCAATACAGATATCAAGTAGGAAACCGCTTGTTTTGTTTAGTTTCAGCACCGTTGCTAGAGTTGCGGCTGTTTCTTTGCATTTTTGTTTGGTTTATGTAAATACAATCTGTTTTATTTTCTTTTCAGTGCTGTTGCCAATGTAATCAGTCACTTTGTCTGTATCATGCATTTAAAAAAATTGTACAATAGTGACAAATTCTGAAGGTGTCACATTCAAGGTGTACCTTTACCCAGAATTAATTTTTTTAAGTCATCGATGTTTAAACAGATCTTTTGTACCACATTTTGTCTTAATGACTCAACGCAGACGGTTACGACAGAAGATGAAAAACATGGATTAATCGGTCGAATGGAAAAACGAACGTGCTGTGCAGCCTACAGCCGAGTGTAGCATAAACGTTTTGCGTAATTTCTACTTCTCACTGTTAATCTGAGTGAAAATCTCGATAGCTTTTAATCATGGCAGACCTCCACCATGGCTCGGTGTAATGGTATCGTGATTAATTCCTCGCTCAGTAGCTCCTGTGATGTGAAGTACTGTGCTTGAGAACTCATTCATGTCTTTTTAGGCCGCATTTACCGAACGGCAGTAGATACACTCGCTAACCTTTTGACCTGTTTGACCCTTGTGTCTTTCCTGCATGTGCAGGATCATGTGCAGTATTGTATGTGCTGTATTTATACCCTCGCGGCTCAGCCTCATCATGACGTTCACGTATTTTCCTAATCATGAATCGCTAGTCCACAATGTTCAACTCAAATACAATCTTAAAAGTAAAGGCGAGTAAAGAAAGTTATGCTGCAGAAGAACCACTGTCGGTTATGTTGTTTTAGATAGATCGATAAATCAGGACAAAATTATAAATAAATATTCTCATATTATTAAAAACCAGAGGTATTTCACTGTCTAGTGGTCAGTATATTATGGGCAGTTCCTATTTCTACCAGAGGGAGTGACAATGCTTTCGTCACAACAACTAAACCTATAGCTACAATTAAGAAAGAAAAGTACAAGCACGATTGAAATCATGTAGCAATATTATGAATTTATCAATAATTATCGATAAATTAGTATTGATAAGGCATGAAGTGGTCACAGCTTTGCATTTAGTAAATGAGATGTAAGTGGGAAGAACCTCGTTAAAGGACAAAATAATCAATAAATATCAATATTTTTTGAACTGCAGGTATTTTACGGTTTAGTGTCCAGTATATCACAGGCAGTTCCCATTTCCACCAGAGGGGGCGACAAAGCCTTCAAAGGAAATAAAATTAAGAAAGAAAAGTACTTAAATTCAAACAATAAATTTTACCTAGTGATTTTACTCAATTTATCAATATTTAATAATAAATCAATAAATGGTCCCAGTTTTAAGTTTTGCAAATGACATCTAAGTGTGATGAACGTCATTAAAGGACAAAAATATCAATATCGAAATTTAATTCAAAACCACATTTATTATTCAGTACAATCATGGGCAGTTCCCATTTCCTCCAGAGGGGGGCGACTAACTAAACACTCAACTAAAATTAAGATAGAAAAACATGGCCAAAATTAAAAATGTACCTGTCAGTTTTACTGGATATGTCAGTAATTATTGATGAATATATAAGTGGTCCCAGCTTTAGTTTTGTAAATGAGTAACATGAGTGTGAAGTTTAAAGAATCTCCACATTAAACCAACTGAAGGTTTCTCATAGAACTGCACAGCCAATCAGAAGCCTTTATTTTTAAGATTGTACGGCATCAGTGTTCTTCACTGTATCTGTGGGAGACAGAAGTGTTGCCAGTTCCAGTTTACTTGAATCATTTTTTTCTTTCCCTTTTCATGGTGTTTTTAGTTTTGCGGCGGTTTAGTATTGTATGCGTCGTGTACTGAAAGTATGTGTCCACTCTGAAGGTGTTTCACTGCCAAACTGAGGCTTTTGGGACGTCCACGGTGAACCACGTGCCGTTTTTCCAGCGTCCGGATCTGCATTGCGTTACATTTTAAACTTGGAGCGCTGTCTCATAATGCACTTTTGTGTTGTTTTTGCTTTGTTTTTGGCCTTACTATGCTCAGATGCTATGACATACTAGATTTTTTTTTCACATCTTTTTTACTTTTTTTATTATTATTTAGCACTTTTCTCCTCAAAAGACCAATGTATTGCTCATGTATGTTGAATTCCATGTGTGGTAAACGGTTTTGGCAGAAAAGAGTCCCAGTGAAGCAGTTGTAAGAAGTGCGCTCTCCAAAAAAACACATTTCGTGTTTTATTATCTATTTTAACACATTTTGTATTAAAATGACACGTGGTGTTCATGCCTAGATGAAGGACGTGTTGTTTTGAGAGTGTGTTTTTTTTTTTGTTTGTTTGTTTGTTTTTTTTCTTTATCCTTTCTGGTTCTGCTTCAGTATCCCCGCATGAAATACTCCTTTTATTTTTTTTAGCTTGTTTCGGCAATTCCACTGGACGTTTACGTCCCGATTTGTTGATTATTTTTGGACTGATGCACAAATGCCTTGTTTTGATTCCACAGATAGTCGTAGGATTTGTATGACTGTCACTTTAACTAAAATTTCTTACTATTTGTGCAGCGGCTCTGTTATTATTCAATTGGTGGTTATTAATTTCAGGAGCCCTTTTCGTGTCCATATCAACTGTTTAAAATTTTTGTATTACCTCCTTAAAGCTGTTGAGAGTGTTAGTGCACTGTACTTCATCATTTCTTTTTGTTAATTTTATATAAATATGTGATTTAAAGTGTCATAAACATCTTGTGCTTATTCACGCATGGTGGTGCCTGTTCTTTATGTTGCGAAATTGCATTTTTTAATGATCTCACCAGCTACATAAAAGCTCATTTGTGTTGATGTTACATTGATCTCACATTCCTTGGAAAAAAAATAGACTGTTTTGCTAAAAATCTTGCTACTGGACTTCTGTTTCGTGTAAAGCTTAAGTGTTAATGTAAAGTTTTCACCTTCAAAGTATACACTCCAACTAAATAAAAGTATCATAAATGATATTACTTGGGTAGAATGAACGTCCTCTCCGAGTTTTATAACGATATACTCATGAATAGAGATTTTTCGGCTATGTAAACTAGCCTGTGTTATTGCATTTATGTACGAGAATGATGCTTGTCCAACCTGTACATAGTAGAAGGCAAAGAACTCGACATGTCATTATATTGTAGTGTCTCAAGAATGCCTGTAAAATTCTGAATGTTTGTGAACGTAGACACATTTTTGTAAAATTTCTTTTACTGTATTTTTATTTGACCAACTTTTGAGATGTTTTTTCTTCAGAATTCATAATTTATTGAGAGTATTTTAAGCGACATTCCACAGATTTACTCGGTTTCAGACTTGCCTGGTTTGACTTCAATAAAACTGTACTGAATGTTCATTTGTGGGGTCAGAGCAGATGTGTGAAGGTTAGGGACGTGTGACAAATTCATATTTTGCATCAACAATATTGAAGAAAAGAGGTATTGTACAGTTTAGTGTTCAGAATGTCAAGCGCAGTTCTCATTTCCACCAGAGGGGGCGACAAAATGCCTCTTTCTGCCTAAACCGCTACCTTGCATGTAAAGAATTGTGAGTAAAGTGGATATTTCTCACAACTGAAAAGAACAAACATGCTCCCTGGAAAATTCTTGTTAAAAGGAAACAGAATAAATGCTAGGCTGTTCAGACAGCTCAAAGATGGCCGTGCCGAGATAAAACAGACAGCGCAACTGCAGCTTTCTTCATATAAACCAATCTGCCAGTGGAGAAATCAAAGAAATGATTCATCAGATATGGACGACAATAAGCTAACCAGCTAACAAGCTAAAGTTAGCAGTGGAGCTACCTGGCTATCAGGGCTGGTGTTCTGACGAAGTGTGCTACCCAGAATTTGGGGGCCCCCATCTTGCTAGTTGATATACTAGAAAATTAGAGGCTAAAGAATAACCCTGGCGATAAACTGTCTAAATCCTGTACATTTATAACTGGCTAATTTGTGTATAGCTGATGATTGGATGTTCACTCTAATAAGTTATATTTAAATTACAGAAAACCTCTGTCTCACTATGATTATTTCTATCCAGCTAACTTTAAGCTTGGTCTAGTTTAACCCTGGGTGGAGTAGTGACGGCGTCGCTTTTTTCCCCGTTATAAATACATTTATTTTGACATACTTAGGTAGTATGATTTCTTTTTTATTTCTTTGGCAGCTTCCCATGTTTTACACGATAAGCTGTTCATCAGAAACAAAGCCTGAGTATCTAAACCTGGATTAATGTAGATTGTTAACTGCTGTTGTTAAACTAGTCAACCATGGCTGTGTTTGTTAGGTTTTGTGAAGCTGAAACTTAGTCAGAAGTTCTGTCTAAAGTTGAACCTGCTTTGACCACAGATTAGCTACTTCTTGTCCAGCTACAAGCCAAAACAAACAGTATAACATTAACACCACAAAAAACATACCTTTATCTTTAAAGGAACAATTTGTTAGATTTTTAGTTTAAAACATTCCCAAATTTGCTAAAATTCTCAATAGAATGTGAAGAAATAACGTTTGACATTATGTGAAAAAGGCGTCTGTGTACCATTTGGCAGATGTCTACTGAAGTTAGCATGCTAACCAGCTAGCTATGGCCCGTCCTGTCTCGTAATACCACTTTGTACCTCAAGAGGCAACAGTGAGTCACTGTAGCATCAAGTCTGCTGTCATCCCAACATGAGAAGACAACAAGAAACCACAAAGAAAAGAAGTGACATAAAGAGAAGCAAAATAAGAGTTAGCGTTGGTGCTGTTCTCCACTGCTGGAGCTCTCAGACAGTAAAGGGATAGAGTTTGACACTGAGCTCACAATGTTTCTTCTAGACTGGTAAGTAAACAGAGGGAGGAGTGAAGAGGGAGGAGGGACTGTGAGTATGAATTTGACAGGTTGTGTCATCTTACATATATCCTATTCCACATTTATCCTTTAAACTTTTTCTCCTCATCTCTTTTGTGATTTTTAGTTTCAGTTATGTACATCTCTTTTGAAACATGATTAACCAGTTGCTTTCCCCCTCACTCAAGAATCTTAGACAACATAATGGTACCTTATTAACCCAGAAGTTCTTAGGGGGTCGCTTGGTGGCTGTGGGGGGTCCTAAGCAGCTGCTTATGTTGCTTATTAGGTAGAGCTGGCACTGCTGGCTGTCTCAATATCTTAATTTAGTTTGCCTTTTTTCTCAAGCTGAAAAGGTAAAAAACATAACCGAAGTAAAAGCTACACTGATGCTAGCTTATAAATCAACCAAAATACAACCAAAACTAGGCTAGATGAACATAAAGCTTTATTTATATAGATCAATTCTCTTCAAAATTTTGAATAAAAGACACCTGATGTTATTCAAGTGTTAAAATACAAATAACATTCATTTATTTTAATAATTATGATCACCAATACACATAATTCATACAAATTTAGCTTGTTTGAATTACAATTAACATTTATAAACACAAGCAACTGTCAATGTACTGAAATTGGTGAATAACTTGTAATACAGACCTGCAAATGAATCCCATTCCAGTGCAAGCTACAACCATCTCTTAATGAATCTTTGAAGTCTCCATCAGTGGCTTTGCTACACATGGAGTTCCTCTTTACAGCAACTGTTCAGGGGGAGAAAAAGGATAAATCCCAGTTAACATCTGGAACATTTGGCTGTATTCCGTTGTTCCGTTTATACAGAAATTATGCCCAGAGATTTTAAGAAGTGCTACAAGACAACTGGTCACATTTTTTTCTTTTTGCCGCAAACAGCTCCAGTTTGATGCCAGGCTACTTTGTTCCTCTGCCTAGCCAACATGTTCGTAACCCTTATATCTGTAATTGTAAACAAGTTGGGACTCTGAGAATACCAAAAAAAATCTCTCAAAAATCTCAAACATATTCACAATTTAACCTATATTATTGAAATCTGACTTGTTATATATCAGGTAGTACCATTTTTTAAAATCATACTCCTTGTAGTTGTCATGTGAGAGCCATTTCCTCATTGTATTTTTTGTCTATGGTCCAAAAATGTATCTTTTTTTAAATGTTTTATATTTTAATGAATAATGTTCTATTGATGGGGTGGTGGGCCATTCTCAGCAAACAGTAACAGAGACTTTGTAGTGGTTTGGTAGTGTGTGCGACACTGGTACAAGTCAGGCACAGCAGCATTGCTGAGGTGTCACTGCTAGGCTGAGACATGCCCAGTACCCTAAAACATCCAGCCAATTTTTATTTGTTCTTAAGATATACACTTTTTTACAAGCAAAAACATTCTTATTGCCAAGACAAATGATTCTGATCAATGTGTTTGTCTGCTTAAGATTTCTGCAGAGTACTTTTATTCTTTATGCTACAAGTTCTGCAACAATTTAGGAATTCTGGGACAACGATGATATTCGACATGTTTCATCTATCTGATGACGCTGACGCCGATACATTAACATTTACAGAGGGGAGAAACTGAATACAAATCCACAGTAGATGAAACACACCTTCTCTCTCTTGGCTGATTACACAAATGATGGCAAGGGCTTCCTCCACTGACAAGAAAATTTCCCCGTCACCAGATTTTCGCCTTTTGCCTGACTGGTTCTCCCAGTGAGCAAACTCCTTAGTTGTGAGGGAAAACGTCTTGACCGAGAAAAGCAGTACAGAGACATATAACATTTATTTCTATCTGGTTGCGAAGGCAGTGACCTTAACAAAACGCAGATATTTTTTAGCGGAGCAGCGTCATTAATGTTCTGCTTGACTAATGTTAACATGCTACTTGTGCACATCGCTGCTGTCGGAAACAAAACCTCACATCTCCAAAATGATGACTTTACAGGAGAAGCGAAAAACATACTTTACTTTTAATGTAAGTCACTGGAACCAGAATTTTTTCCAGGTCATTTTGGGCCATTTCTTTTGGTCCATTCCTCGCGAAATTTACACACAATGTAAAGAGCAACATTTTCAAATTATATCAAAAACTGAAAAATTATATATTTTTTGTTCCGACAGCAGCGATATGCTAGTTCCAAGTGGCATAACAGGAAAGCAAAGAGAGGAAAAAGCTACAGACTGTTGCCATCTACAATATGCTATTACACCAGTGTTAGGTAGCAGAAAATGCTGCACCACGTTATCGTAATAAGTGCAAATAAAGTAAAAATAATTTCTAACAAGAATTACTTATTTTGAAAAAAGTCATTGATATCTTATGACCTACTTTGAAGAACAAAGTTTGGTTCCAGATTTCTTCTAGTTGTCCTCAGCCATTACATGGATTTATTAAATTCCATCAGCCAACCTGATTTGACATAGTGTTGATTAGATAAACCAAGTATTGGAGGTCTAGAAAGGGTTAAATGAGCATGCTGACGTATGTAAAAAACACCACTTATCATATGAATATTTGTATTTATTGTAAACTAACTGTTTACTCAGCAAATAAATTCACTCCCCCCAGATAAATAGCTTTTTAAATAAATATTTCTGCAAACTGTGTCCACTTACCATAAACATGAGAGCAGCAGAACACTGCACTGAGAGTGTATTTGCACAAGAGACATCTAAAAGAAAAATATATTGTTATAAATAAAAACCAACTAACCACCTTTGAATAAAAACTCTGGTTATTCCGACACGATTAGCTATAGAAGATGTGGGGAAATGTAATTTTACCACAGGATAATGTTTATGACTGATTCGTACCAATAAGAAATCTTATAAATCAGAATGTCAGTAATCTGTTTAAATTACTGAGGTGAGAGGGCTGCTCGATTTACGCACTACGTTCACACCAAAAAGGCAGTACTCCTAAGTAGAAAACGTCCACATATTTACTTTAATCTTAATTCATCTACCATCGTTGCTCTCTAGCTGTTTTAAGTGAACTCAGTGTGTTATTAACATTATCATTAGATTATGAATTTAAAATCGCTGAGAAACACTGGTAATAATCACCCCAACCTCCCTCTGTGAAAGCAGTCCTGTTCAAAACCATAGTCAAGTTGAACTAGTTTTACCTGGGGATGTCATGTAGTTTGAATGATTACGACAAGATCTGTGATTTTAATCCAGTACCAGTTCATCAATGTCCGTAGTTTTTACAAATGTTAAGTCATAATTCCGGAGTGAATTCTAGCTCTATTGTTAATAAAAGTCCTGTTTTAATCCACCTCACGGTAATGTAATAAAATCAGCACCTCTGTTTTTACGTGACAGGGAGACGATGCTAAAATGGAGCTTTTGGCAAATTTCCTTTATCCTCGAGTTCAAACAGGACTGCTGGTAGCGGAGAGAAGACGCTGGTCAAAAAGTTCTGTCTGCTGGCCCTCAACCTGCCAACACCGGACACCAGAGTGGAGTCACTCTGCGGGTGAAA